TAAATTGTTGTCTGATTGTAATACATAAATTGAATATATCGAAAGTAATCGATCAAATCTTCTTGTCAGATAGCCGAAATAAGATGAAGATAAACGAGATAAACGAGAAGATGAACGAGCGAAACGAATATATCACTTTTTCTCAATTTTTATAGATTTGCATGTGATATTTGAAGTTTTTTAAGCGAAATTTCAATGAAAAAAAAAAGAAATCATCAATCACACGAAAAATTATCATTGTTCATAGAATTCTTTCTACTGCACTGTTTTAACGAAAAAATTCCATAAATTTTTACCGAAAAAATTATCATTCCAGTTTTTGTCGAAAATTCTCATAGATGAAAATATCGTTCAAAATGAAAGTAAAAAAAAGTATCTCATTCGACGGCGGATGGACGGATGGACGGGTGGACGGATGGACGGGTGGATGGATGGATGGATGGACGAATGAACTAACTGATAGACAGCTCGACTTGCCATCTTAAGTTTATCATCCAAATGATGCCATTATGCACACAAAAACATCTCTTTTAATTTAATGAAGGTGAAATCAAAAGGTGAAATTTTAAAATTAAATAAAATATTTTAAATATAAAAGGTAAAAGATATGAAAGAAATTTCGAAAATTCAAAGAAAAATATTCAGATTTTTTATTACATTACTCACATCTACCACTATCGACAATCAATGCACTATTTGGGATATTTGTTCAACGTAGGGAGCCAGCGAAACGGACTTAGCTAGTAATGGTGACCCTTCAAGAAGAAAGCATAACAGATTAAATATTTATTTGGTTAAGCGAAACACATCAAATAGCAGCGATCTGCTTATTCGAAATCCGAAATAACGAACGATAATTGTGTATTCATTAGAATTCGCTGGGATAAAAACAATTTATGCAAAATTAAAAAATTAACAAAAAAATTTAAAATAGTTAATTTTGATGAAAATTATGTTTTTTTGCCGAACTATATGTAATATGTACTATTCGCAACTGACTTCGAAATATTTCCGCACAACTTTCCGGTAAATTTGAGGAACATCTCGTAATATATTTTTGAATATATTTTTGCAAAGAAAATGTTTTATACGAAGATGTGCGAAAATAGGGCGAAACGCTAAAAGATTTTTTTTCGTAGCACAGCTTTTTGAACTATTTCACTGGCGTATGATTTGCATACGAAATGTGCTGTATAGTTGATGGTTTTGAGACAATCGGCCTTAGAATATTTCTATCATAAACAAAAGATAAAACGATTAGAAAACAAAAGGCTCATGGAAATGAATTTTCGAAAATACAATAAGATTTGGCTCTCTAATATGCGAGCGATTAGTAAGCGAGCAGGTAACAAACCAATGCCAATTCGTTCCTTTGCGAACAAATTGGTCTTATTTTAAATTATCTCTCACAACGGAATGTAAATAACTGATAAATAACTGATAAATTTTGTCGATCGGTTTTATAAATTTGCGATGGAGCCGCTTGAAAGACAAGAAGTGTCGTTAGTACCATTCGGAACTGGTGCGAGAAAACTAACGAAAAGTTTGCGCCGAAAGTAGGGTCCGAGTCAAAGCGGTTATGTGAGTGGCGGCAACTACTCTGCTATTCTTCCTCTAATATGATTAGCATATTTAATATTTGATGCAAGGTTCGTTCAATTTTTGCCTCTTCCCATTTAAAATGACGATTCAATTTTATCAATATGTTTGTTTTTTTTAGCAAAGTGGGCAATTTTTTATCATTTTTATCACTACAAAGTTACTTATAATTATCATTATTGATAATTGATCACCGTTATCATTTTTTTATATTTATTTTTACCAATGATTATTTCTTTTTTTAAAAAACTCCTTCCCAAGAAAATCCTCTCCATCTTCTTTAATACATTTAAATAATTATAAGTAAAATAGAATCTGAAAATAGTTTTGGCGTGTTGCCAAATGCACTTTTTGGCAAAACGCCAACATTCAGAATTGGCATTTTTTCGTTGTTTTATGATCCATTGCCTTCGTTTGATCTATTTATTACTAAAAATGTGCTGAAAAGCGTTTTGGAGTATTGTTTCGGTCGCTAAACTACCAGAAATGAGTCGCAATTGGTGCCAGCAATCGGCGATTCCCGGAAGGTTTTCCTTTATTTTTAATTGTTTCTATATTTTCTAAATTAAAAGTTAACAGCAATAATTTTACGCGAGAAAAAAAGCATTTCCCCATATTTATTCGCACTTTTATTATTCATTTTATTACTCTCTGAATTCGCCTCTTTTTTGCAACTTATTTTTTAAATTTTATTACACACACGCTTTTTAATTCAATTAATTTTGTTATATTTTTATTATTGTTGTTAAACACGAATAAATCGTAAAAAGAAGTTCCATTTACACATCCCTTAGCTGAATTGTTGCTGAACTGCAACTGCACTTTTATTCCGTTCATTTCTTTATTATTATTCTTATTATTTGTTGAATTTTATGCGTTTTTTAAATTTACTCATTCTAATTTATTCCATAAGTTTTTCTATAATGTTCCCTATTTTCTATTTTGCTTCTTTCTATTTGATTTTATTGTTTTCACTTTTGTTTATTTTACTTGAAGTATTTAATTTAGCGTTAGACCAGTATATGGCGCGCAGTATCCGCCGTTGACTGGAAGTGAAGGGTATCGCAACGGAATTAGTGAAATTGCATTGTCATCGTCAAAAAATGGTGAAGATTTCAAGAAATATGAAGACAGGTCTAATTTTCGATCATTTACTACCGTTTTATTTAATTTTTAGTTATTCCCACTACTTACTTGTAACAAACTTATCTTGTAAATTCTAATGGTTCTTACGGGTTTTTTTATAGGTAAATTATATAATTATAATTTATATGATTATATACAATTACAATTATAAATTATATGATTATATACAATTATAATTATATAAATTATAGTTTTCGCAAATTTTTTCAACCGCATAAAATTGTTAATTAATTGAATGTTAAGATTGGTTAGTCCGATTTTTTTGCGGCTTGCTTAAATTAATTTTTTTGTCGGTTTGCTGAACGAGATTTTTCAAAATTCTATCTATATTCTAACTTTAATAATTATTTTATTTAATAATTTATAATTTATTGAACTGACAAACATATTTTAATAATAGAGAAAATGGAGAAGGCCCTCTTCGTTTTTCGTTTTGCCGAACAGCATGAACTCTATGCTACTAATACATGCTTTTGACATCGAAGAAAACATATAGTCACTGGGACCTCTGGATAACCAGTATTCGAATCAGATTGACTATATATTAGTCAGTCGCCGCTAGAAAAGTTCTGTTCTTGATGGTCGTTATCTTATCGGGGCGATACTGCCATGGATCAGATTATTTTATAGTTCGAGCCATAATTCGTATAAAACTGACAAGTTGTAAAAAGCAAATATCCCAAGATCTTTCAACTATATCTCAAATTGAATGATCCGAGAATAATGAGCACATTTCAAGCCATATTATTGAAATTATTGAAATACCTCAGTGAAATGAATGTTAATGACATCTCAGGAACGGCGAATGAATACTGGTCCCAACTAAAGACATGCCTACAAAAGTCAACCATTTTCACACTGGGATATACTAGTAAGAAGTGCGCTAGTTGGGTGTCGGAAGTTCAAGTGTCTGAAAGAGCTGCCAAAGCCCGAATGTCAGGATATCCTGATTATCGGGTGCTTCGAAGATTTGACAATAGCACGGAAATCGCTATTGAAGTAATATGGCCTTGAATGAGAATGGAAATAGCAGCTCGGATAGGTGATAATAGGAAATTGTTTCTCCTTCTTCACAAAGCAACCATAACTCGAGAAAGGATCAATGAAATGATATGGGATGGGGCGTCTTTTAAGGCAGTCAAAGATCGACTCATAAGATAGAAAGATTCTTTGAAGCCAAACCACGATGCGCCATCTGTTGTCCTGGATATAACTGATTCGCTCATCGAGCCTTACGTTTGCAACTCCAAACCGCCAACAGAAGAGGAAATAATCTCTGTAATCCATGAGCTTAAGGCGAATAAAACTCCCGGAAAAGATGGTCTTCGGTGGCCGAACTCTTCAAGTGTTGTCCATCCTTATTCATATCTCACTTTCAACAAATGTATTTTCTGATATATCGGAAGAATAAAATAATACGAGATGACTGGACCAAAGCAATTCTGCCTCCAATTCCTAAGAAAATTGACAGGACGTACTGCGACAATTTTTGAGGAATCAGTCTACTAGACATCTCCGGAAAATTTTTCGCTTCCCTTTTGCTAAATAGACTTATACAAAGTAGCAGAATACATCCTAACCAAGATTCAGATTGGGATTCGGTTGTGCTGACCAGATATTTACTAAGAAGGATGCTGGAACATCGCTTCACACACCACCAACCCATCGTCATTTTCTTTATCTATTTTGCAACTGTCTTCGATTCAATTGACAGAACAGGGTTTTGGAGATAATGGAATGTAATGATGTTCTAGAGAAGATCTTTCGGCTCATAAAGGCTCACATTTTATTAGTATACCCTGACACAGATCTATGTATATGGGGACTGACAGACTTCTTCGAAATAAGAACTGGTGTCTCAAAGGGCTGCGTCCTTTCTCCTACAATATTCAGTTGTGCGATAGATGGATAATGGGAATCCTTTGTTGGCATTCAAGGATAAATCAGTTCAGAGCATAGTGTAGACCTTGAATACCCTGATGATGTGGTTAGTCTTTTTTGCTGATAGTTATAATGAAATGCAAATAATATTAAATAATGTCAACAACAAGATGCTGGTAAACTATCCATTTTTATCAATTCATTGCCGTTTGAGGATGTGCCCGAATATCTTTGATCCACTCTAATCTCAAATGGCCAGGCAAAGGATGAAATTATTATCCCGATAACAGCTAGAACTGTTTTCCCGGTTGATGAAACCTTTGTAGAACCATCGCGAAATCATCATAAAGATCCGCATCCATATAGCTGCAATTTGCTCGATCTTGCTATATGACTGCGAAACATCGCCAACGAGTGGAAGATATTAAAAAGTTATCAGCATACTTATGACCACTTATGTTTAAGATACATTTTACTTATCAAATCGCACATGATTGTATCCATCTTCGTTCAAATACCACCTGTACTAATAATTATCACAGAACATCGCCTTCGCTGATTAGGGCACGTTCTCCGTCATCCACCACAGGAATTGACGCATATTTCGCTATTTGTCGAACCCTGTATGGTTGTCAAAAGCGAGGAGAGCCAATCAAGACCTGGACTGATACGGTCAGGAAAGATTTTGAACATATAGGGGATCAGCGATATATGGAGTTGACGATGGAAAAAGGAATGATTTCTATTACTGTCGACGATGGCATCAGATTACATAGTTCGTCTTTGCAGCCAATAGAGCCAAGCTAACTAGTAAAAGTGAGAGCTCTTAGAAGAAAAGGAATTATTTTATTTAATAATTTATAATTTATTGAATTAACATATATATTTCAATTTAATGGTGCATTATAATGGATATAGCGAAATTGCTTATAAAAATATTTTTTTTCAAAGAACATAGTCATATTCTCAACTTAAATGAATTGTTTTTCAGTGTATCTGATGCTTGGGAAGCGTCTGTTGCCGTAGATCTTCGAGTAGCATCAACAAGTGCAAGTAAAGTATTAGAACGACACGCAGCGATGGCGTCAAAAGATGTAATAATGCCCCCAGTGTATCCGGTACCCTCAAAAAATAGTAAAATTCAAGCAATGCAACGTTTAGCGACTCAAAAAGGTTTTTTTGATTCAGTAAAAATTTATGTCCACTTTCTTATAGAATTAACTAGTTTGTAAATTTAGAGCCTTTACCTGCTGCCAACACTAAAACAACCAATTCAGCTGCATTTATTGGACTATATCCAAAATTGCCTGAGGTAAAATTTATTTTTTTATATTTTGGTGTTAATATTTTGATTATTCTTCTAAAATTTTTTTCGAAATTTCTTTTGGATATAATTTCGAATTTTTTATCGGTTTCTGTTGAAATGCCTTCAAGCAATATCATTGTCGACTCGGTTTCCCGTCCACCAAAAGTGGATACAATGCAGCAAACAGTTTTGTCGCAGTCTTTAAATTTTATTCAAGGTTTGATTTTGAACATATAAAAGGCATGGTTGTTTTCATCTATCATCATTTATTGAAAATTTGCAGGAAAACATCGCGATCATTCTCGGTTCAATAGATTGAGAGCTCAGTTGGGGTTGATTCAAGGCACTGCTTCAACCGGTTATTCTGTATTGCTTAGTTCTTCAGATATTGATTTAGAACAATTGCGAAAAGATTGTTGGATGGGAATTCCTCATAAATTGCGTCCATCTATTTGGAGGATTTTATCAGTAAGTTTATTCCACAGTGATGTTGAATAAATTATTTAATTTTCTGTTTGAATTAATTATTTTCAGGGTTACGTACCTACCAGCTTCGAGCGTCGTGAAATGACTTTATCTCGTAAGAGGCAGGAATATTGGCATTATGTAGAACAGTATTTTCATACTAGATTTGAGGATCAGCATCAAGATACTTTTCGACAGGTTAAATTCAGCAGTAAATTTTAGATTTTAGATTTCTGAGGAAATACATAGTGAAACATTTTGTTTTTGAAAATTTTACAATTGTATATGGTATAGTCCGGATTATTAGTTTAGATTCACATCGATATTCCACGAATGTGTCCTCTCATACCTCTTTTCCAACAAAAGATTGTACAAGAAGTAAGTAAATTTTTTATCCACGTTGTCTACCTTATTTAAGATTAAACAAAATTTAAGTAAAATAAATTTACACCACTTATAGCGATTTTATTAATTTTGCCAATTTTAAAATCATAAATGGTTGATTACTGAAGGTGAATATTTAGATTTTTGAACGTGTTTTGTATATTTGGGCAATACGCCACCCTGCAAGTGGTTATGTACAAGGCATAAACGACCTCGTTACTCCATTCTTTGTTGTGTTCTTGTCTGAATTTATTAATGATGGTTATTTATTTTTAAATTGCATTTGCTTTCAATGTTAATATGTTAATATTTAATATTTTTGTATTATGTTTGAACTTTACAGATACTGAAGTGGGAACATTTAATGTTAGCGATTTATCAAGAGAAATTATCGAAATTGTAGAAGCTGATAGCTTTTGGTGTGTATCAGCCTTATTAGATAGTATACAGGATAATTATACGTTTGCTCAACCTGGGATTCAACGAAGAGTTCTCCAGCTTCGTCATCTTTTGAGTCGAGTTGATAGTAAGGATTTCTCGAGAAAAATTTGGCAATATATTGCATTTCTGTTTTTAATTTTTTTAGAATATTTTTTTATAGAACAGTTACATGATCATCTGGAGAATCATGGCGTTGAATATCTTCAGTTCGCCTTTCGTTGGATGAATAATCTGCTTATGAGAGAAGTACCACTTCGGGCCACGATTCGCCTTTGGGACACATATCTTGTATGTTATTATACAATTTTAATGATATTTTCTACAAAAGATTATGTGCTTACGAATACACGATTTAAATATTTAAATTTTTAATAAATTGTTCATCCTTTAAGCTTTCATTTTATAGAGTGAACGCAACGGGTTTTCACAATTTCACGTTTATGTTTGTGCTGCCTTTTTAAGAATGTGGTCAAAACGACTCCAAAATGAAAAAGATTTTCAGGTGTGCTGGACTTAGTCTTTTGAAATTTTATGCATAAAAAAATTTCCGTTTTCTCAGCCCCTGTGTGTGAAAAGGACCATCCTCAATCCCGAGCCCTTCAGGAGATTCTGTGTAATGTCTTAGCTGCTCCTAGTAGTTCGCTATTTTAGTCATAGAGATTTGTGACTTGTTGCTGGAATCTGCTGAAGCCATTCAGAATCTCATAGGCACTGTCCCAAGTACTCTAGTTATCACTGGGATTACTTTGGCTTTCACTTTCCACATCTCTCTCTTTTAGCTCCTACAAAAAGATTCCTTTTCTCAGTGAGTTACCCTATTCTACCAGAGACTTGCCATATAAATAATATCTATATAGACGAATGGATATGCTTAAATTATTCAAATTGGAAACCAATTTCAGGGAATAATGATACTTTTACAAAATTTGCCCACACACGCTTGGGAAGATCAGCAAATTTGTGAACTTACTGCGGATGCGTTTTCACTAATGGCGGTTTTTGATGGCACTAAAATCTTTTAATTTATCACGATTGAATTTTCGTCAGGTAGATGATTTGTTTTGAAGATAGGTTTATTTATTTACTACATTTCACTACATATATTTATTTCATTCTTTTTGCACTCTCTTTTGATTCATTCGGTCTTTTGTTTTCTAGCCTTCGAGAAAATATATTGTACTTTAAAAAATTTTTTTTATGTTTACAACTTGATTTTTATCTAAAATAATTCATTTAATGTTTCGGTAGATAGGTAGGTTATGCAATTGTTGTATTATAAATTATATTGTATTTGTGCATCCTTTAAGTATTCATTTATATATGAAAATCTAAGATCCTGTTTTCGAGGAAGTGTTATTAAGATTAAGAGACTAATGTAGAAAAAAATTTTTTTAATTGATAACTCCAAAAAAATATAAACATTATACAAACAAGGAACCAATAAATAGATTTATCGTTGTTCACTGCGGTCTTGCTCTCTTTTGCGTTGCCGCCTTAAAATCGGGTTAAGAACGATTGAACTCGTTCCATGACGCGATTCAGCAGTTTCATCATCTGGATTAAAAGTACTGTCCAAATCATCCACTTCTTCATCGCCCAGATCTGCAAAAAGCAGTAAAATTTCTGAATCCGATGAAAAACACTAGAAGTATAATCTTCCAAATGGTTTAAATTTTTTAAATCGTGGAAAATTTTATAACAAGACTTATAATAAACCTGATTTATGTTTAGTTTAATTTTCTCTAGGATGGAAATTAAATGGAAAAAAAGCAACCTATCTCGACTTCATGTGAATTTCTTCGATCACCATTGTCAACGACTGCTGCAATGACTGCACCTAACACTTCGGCATGACGGGGATCAAACTCTGGATCACCATCCTCGCTAAAACTTGCATCTCCATTCTGCAACAACATTTCCATTCATTAAAGATGATTTCAGTATAGAAAAATGGAATAATAAAATACGTTTTAAGCTATTAAAATAAGTTACTTGAACATCGTGGCCTAGTGCATATTCGTTATGTGAACTACCGGAATCCGAGCTATCACTATAATCATTGTCATCTGAAGATGTTGATGCTCCCGATTCATCTTCGTCATTTCCATCTTCATCAATGTCGTCATCATCAACGCCATCTGCATCATCAGAACTATTTGAAGACGAATCATCATCATCGTTATCATCATTTTCATTGGCCTCTTCCTGAGAAAAAAAGTAATTCATTTGCAAATTTGTGAATAAAAGAATATCTCTTTTTTTGAAATCAATATTGATTCTAATTTTGTTTTTATGAATCACTGAAGTTTCGGAACTATTACGATTTAACATTGTTCAATACCTGCTCATCCAGATCTTCAATATCTCTATGTTTTCCAATCTCAAATAATCGGCACAAATCTGCTCGTAAATCAACTACATCTTCTGATATAGTATGGGCTTCAATAACCGCCATATATTCATCTTTATGATCAAAACAAAGGTCAAACAATCCCTTTTTGGTGTCAATAGTAGAAATGACCTATAAAAAGGAATCACATGGAAAATTAAACTTTTGAAAAAGGAATATATTAAATATTTTTTGAAAAAGTCCAATAAAAAATAGACTTGATAGTTGATGGCATCAAATGTACGAAATGAAGAGCTAAGCGCATTACGTGGTTGAAATTCTTCATCATCCGGATTCATTTGTATTGCTGAAGAATGATTTAAAATATCTTTATAATGATTTGCTATTACGTATATTCAAAAAAAATATCAAAATATCTGTATCCATCAAAAGTGAAAGTTTTCATGCCTTTATTAAATGTCATCCTAATAATTCCAGTCTTAGATTCAGCATTATTACCTTTCACATCCCTCTCCAGGGATAATTTTTTAAGGTTCTTTAGAATTTATATATCCTCTACACTCAAATCTTCTCCAACTTCCCTACCAAATTTCCACAATCTTCAGTCAAAACCATATTTTCTTAAGAACCTTATATTAACTCCGTTAAACTCTTCTGTACCTAATCTTATTACCCATTTTCTACAACCTATTTGGCAATGCACCATAATCTGAAGATGGGCCTTTTTTGTACAATAAAATATAAATAAAACAACAAAATAAAACAAAAAAATATATAAATCTGTCTGAACTAGTAATAATGATAATGCTAAATATAACATATAGTTAGCGAATCAATTGATAATTTTTCATGAAATCAATATATCAATATTAGAAAGAAAATTTGCTTGAAAAACCACAAGTAAAGAGAATTTTATTACCCGCACAAAGTATATTTCCTGTTCGATTGAACACGATCTTGCAACGATCAAGAGTTGGAACACTATGAAGTAAATGATACATCCGTACATCCCACTAAAAAAAAATCAGATGATGGCCAAATAATTTTGATTGTCCAAAACATTAAATATTTACCACTTCGGTATTGATGATGACTTCATTTCCATGTGGATGAAAAACTCCAGAAATAACCATATTTAATTTATCGAACTTGTGTAGCGCTTGAGACGCGCATCGAATATCCCAAAGGACTCCATCGTTTAGCACTAAATTATCCAGTGGGTGGAAAGTAGCTCTAAAGTAATATTTACTGATAAATACTTAGAAGTTTAAGTTTGAATTCATTGAAAAGATGGATAAATAATAACAAGTAACCTGTTTCTCGTATAATGACTCGACAGTGCTTCATCATGTAGAACGACTACTGATTGACTAGTTTCTACATCGTATATCTATAATATGTGAATGTAAATGGTGTGCATACCCATATACTGCTGAATGGTGTGCATACCCATATATTGCTGAATGCTGAATATTAAATCGTATTTTGGAAACCTTAGGAAATTAAAAATTATAGAATTTCTTAATTATTAAATTCAATCAAGAGGAAGAAGATAATATTCTTTTGCATAAACTATTTTCGAAATTTAATAATCAGTTCCAACAAGCAAATTTTTTTAAAAAGTACATCGCTTATTAATCAAAGAATAGCTCATCAATTCATCAAATAATTCATCAGATTATTAAACGCTGTCAACCTGTCATTTGAAACCAAAAAAATTCGGAAAATTCAACGAATTCAAAAACTTTTGAAAATAGTGTTGCATACGTAAATTTTTAAACCCACCAGGAAATCAGGATAACAGGTTTTTTGCGTTAATGAGGAAAGGGAGGAGTAGAAACGTTTTGCACAAAATTTATTTGAAAAATTTTTAACCGTAGCTGTACTTTCTCGAGTACCAATGATACGATTTTGATATGCTTTACTGAATTCAACATAATAATCATCCACAAAATTGAATTTATGGTCTTGTGTTTCGCCGATTTTCCATAGTGATGATAAAGGTTTTACAAAAGAAGATGACGTAAGAAGCAATGAACCATCCTGAATTCGAATTGGGTACAATGCCTCATTAGAAAAATGTTTGTTATGGTTGAAGCCAAAAATATATTGGACCAACAGAAAATAAAAACAATTAAAATTCATTATACCCTAGATTGTTCAATAACTGTTATAGCACTATGATGACATTCCGTCAAAGATTCTTCAACGCCAGTATTTACATTATACCAATGCAATGAACCAGCATACGTACCCAAGACCACATGCTCATCATCAATCTAAAATATGCTAATGAACAATTTTTTCAAAATTCTCCGTGAAATAGAAAATAAGTCCAAAAATCTAAAGGAATGAATAGGAAAATTACAGAGAAACTGCAGCAGGTAAACGTTTCATCAGTTTCCGAAAACGTTTTGATAGGTCGCAATCGACTAAAAACAAATCTTTCATCGGCCTTCCGACTCTCATAACTGTTCATTAGAGAATCGATCTGGAAAAAAATGAATGATGAAATGAACGACCTTTATATAGAGAACTGTACGCAATTAATATATTTGAAAAAAGAAAAAAAATCACCGGCTTATTAAAAAATCTTGCTGCAATATTGTTCTGAGTAAAATAATGTCGTCGCTGATGAGGACATTTGTGTGGACTGAATTATAAAAAAAGTGGAAATTCAAATAAATAAATGAAATATTTAAAATTTTAAATAAAAAATATAAAAATGTAAAAAAATAGTCCTTACAGATATTTTAGATATATGCAAAAATTATTAATATTAAGAATTCAAAAATACTTTAAAAAATTACAAAAATACTGAAAATGGAGGACAATTCGAAATAGGATTATTGCACATCGCATGTTGTTTTCTGAAATTATTAGACAAAAAAAACCATCTTATAGCAAAATTAAATATTTTACGATTCGCCGTTCATAAAATATATTACCTATGATACAGAAAAGAAAACTACAGTTACAAAACTACAGTTTAACAAAGAGATTCTAAATTTACCTGAAATATTCCATCAAAATTCCCTCTAGATCTTTATATGGTTTCATTACAGTTTTCACATTTTTATTGAAGGAGTTAATATCACTTCCATTAGGCGTCGATCTATTAACAGAAATATGGAGCGACTGATTCAAACGAGCATTTTTTTCACTAATATTTGTTCCTGAATAAACACGAGAAAATTCTTAAACATTAACTGAAGAAAACATAGCTTAAAACTAGATGGTAATAAAAATGAGGAAAAAGCGAGCAATAATTTTTTAAAAATCTTTAGATTTGGAAAATTTTTAAAAGTAATTAAAGCAAAATTGTAAAAAACGATCTGAAAAATGAACTAACGATCAAAAATTGGTGTTTTCGATTGTTTCGCTGAAGGAGTTGTAAGTGATCGTTTATTACGGGGAATGTCGCGAAATGATGCACTAGTTCTGTATTTGTTTTCATGGCTATAAAGCCTCTACGGATGTCAAAGAAAATAACAAAAAAAGATAACAAAAGAAAATGTAACCTTTAATTAAATAAAAGACTAACTGTGTTGAAAAACTTTTTGCTTGATACCGTCGACACTGAATGAATTCTTCTCGATAATTAGAAGCACTATAACAAGGAGTAATTGCCTCTTGTAACGGCGATTTTGCTTTCATCCTTGAAAAAGAAGAATTCGAACTTGGCTGAAAAAAGTATTTAGAAAATTATGATCATAAAATTCACGAAGTTTTTATAAGTTTTTATAAATAAATTTATAAATTAAATTTATAAAAATAAAAAACTAAAATTTCTTAAAACGTTTGAAACAATAATCTCTTTTGCTATAATGAATAAATAAATTTAACTTACAAATGGTTGCAAATTGACTGGAGCCTCCGTAAAAAGACTAGCAGGTACATCAGGCAACTCCGCTTCAATCTGTAGCTGCTCGGCTGTTTTTTTAAGTCCTTTCTTACAGAGATGCTGATGAATTAACTGAAGCAACTCCTTCTCATTAAAATTGATTTTTGTGCGCGATATGATAGCTGACTTCCAAATTTTTTCCTTAAATAAATCATACGAATTATAAAAAAAATTCAAAGAAAACAAAGAAAAGAAATAAAACAACAAACAAAAGATACAAAAAGATGTACAAAAAGATTTTCGCAAAATGTAATTAAAATGGGAATTAAAATATCTTATAATATAATTAAAAGTCTACAAAAATAATTTTTTCGTTACTTAAATGCTGATGGATCGACTATTTATATAAAATTTATAAAGAAATCTATGAATTTAAATTTTTTAAAGATTAAATAAGATCATTTGGTTTCACTGATTTTCGAATAGATTCTACTGAATATTACGATTCATCCTTAAATTTCGAAAGACGATGGATTAAAATTACCATCTATTTACAAATTAAAACTTAGATTTAAGGAATTTATTTACGGCATTATTTGAATCCCTGGATAAATTATTTCATAAAATATCTTTGCCCTTTCTATAGAGTTTTAAGAATAAATTGAATAATTGTAAAATAATATAATCGATTCTCAGACTCGGTAAATATTTTAGTATAAATTTTCAGATAAATAAAAATAAATAAACTAATTAACATAAGAAATTAAATACTTGAGTAAAATCATTGGTCAAACTTCCATCAATATTTTTCTGCGTAACTCGCTCAATAAGCAATCGTGCTTGTTCACAGAAGCGAAGATGTTCTGCTCGCTTATCAGGCAAAACTGGTTCACGCATAAGGCCTTTATTTTATATATTTTCATTAAAAAAACATTAAATTAAATGAAATGGATAAAAAAATCGTTTTTATAGTTGAATATAAAAAGTTAACCATTGAAAAAAATGCATACTGTGGAATATATTTTAGACTACTTAAAATAAAAATCATACCAAGCAGTACATTATCAGCTATCAAAGGCATTTCGCTTAAAATTTGTCGAACTTCTTCACAACGAGCCAAGCCATTTAAAATTTGACAAACAAGAGTACGTATCGCGTCCGCCTCAGTTATAGGCGAAGTTTTCAGCAATAAACTTTTTAAAACCTTAAAACCTTAAAATATATTTTTGCGCAAAAATACTTACTCCATACTTTATTTTATTTTACAGCGTTTAAAATTATATTTTAACCAAGGCGGTAAGTGAAATAACATTTTTACTTAAAGAGAATTTCAGTTAAGAACAAGAATGAAAAATAAATCGCAGAAAAAATAAATTTACCATAATACCATCATTTTTTCGAACAGCATCCCACATCTTTTCTAGTACTTCGCCATATTCAGTGTAATTTTTTCGATTCTTTTTCGTCTTATTCAGAGAAAAGTTTGATTTCGAACCAGAAAATGATTTGTCGTTTTCTGGTTTTATTTTATTTCCCACTGAACTTGGACTACCATTTGAGATTAATAAACGACCACTTCCTAGCTGTAAAATTTCATTAAAATGGCACGACATTAGGATTAAGATAAACATCTCTGTCCATTAAGACAAAATAAAACAAGAAATAATGAATTTTTTTTAAAAATCTTTCTTAAAAAATAAAGAAGCCAGTGATTTTCCAAGGTTGTTTAAGAATAAAAGAACCACAAAGTACCTTCTCAACAGGACTACAGACACAATTTATTAAAATATTCAAAGCAATTTTTTGTATCTCAGGTTCAGATATTCGTTCGCCATCACAAAGATCCAGCAAAATTCTGCAAAAAAGAAAATTTTCTCAACAAAAAAGTGAAAAAAATTACAAATATATTTAGCGATAAATACCCAATCGCAGGTTCACCAACACCTTCAACTGAAACAATAATTTCGCAAATATCAAGCTGAACGCGAGGCAATATCGAGCACATCCATATGACCTATAATAAAAACAATGAAAAATTTTGATAAGTTTATTTTATAATAAAAAACCAAACCTCTAATGAATTTTTGATTGTCTCATTCTTTACAAAATTATTCACTGACAACACTATCCCGATTAAATCAAACATCATCTTGATTACACCTAGTTCACGCAATGCTTCAACAGGTTTCCACAAATTGTGCGATGCAAAAATATGTACAAGCAGCCAAACACAATCTTTAAGTGCTTCATCATCTAGCCTCAACGACTGAAAACAGAGCTAATCACCAATCAATTTAAATATGAAGCAAATTAAGCAAGAAAATTAATCATTACGTTAGGCTACAAAAAAAAAAATCAGATAAAACGTGAAATAACAACCTTATTGGATGAACCATGAAGATGTGTGGGAACTTTAAGGCCTGAAGTCGACTGAATACGAGGTAAATATGTTCTTTTAAAATGTTCAACTTTTAAACAAACATGCGAAGCGACATAGCTGCAAAAAAATACCGATATAGCTTAGTAATATTAATATTAATAATAATTCGCAACAACAACAATAATGGCTGAATACGAAATAATGCACCGGAATTATAACCAATGACAAATTTTTAAAATTTTTACAACAAAATTCTCTAAAAAGGTTAAATGAGTTGAATAAAACCTAAAAAAAAGACTTAATTGTAACTCACTTTCATAGAGGATAAAATATGTAGTGTGAAAGGAAGATATTAAGAGAATGCCAAAATTAAAATAAATTGGCAAAAATTCTTGTCAGCCTTTATTAAGAAAATTTATATTGAATTTATCGTCAAGACAAAATAACATATTTTTAAAGGTATATGTGGTAACAACAACAATTATAATGATTGGAAGGGCAAGAAAAAATATCTAAAAAAATAAACCTTCTGAATGCTGCACAAGTGTTTCGAACTGCTTGAAAGCTAGTAAATAAAAGTTCTTCAGGTAAAGAACTTCTTTCCTCGGCTTGCAGCAAAGTCAAAGTCGAGATCTGAAAATACAACTACTCTTTTCCAAAAATTATTTTTCGCCTTCGTTAAAAAAACAAAATGGACAAAAGTGAAAAATTACATAATTTAATAAGCGTCTTGAGCCATCATTATTATCGAAACGCTCGAGAATAGCCCGCAACTGAAAAGAATACGCAAAAAACATTGTTGCTGCCCCACGACCACTTTCGTGGCTATGTTCTAACATCCACAGTTGGAATCTGTAGTCCAATCACGTTCATTTTTTTGAATTTTTATAAAATTTAATAAATTTAAAAATCATACTTTGGAGCAAAAAATTTTTTAGACATAAAATACTACTTGACAATTTTATCCAATACAGATTCAGAAAGAAGATTCATTTGCTCAAGAACATCGTAATTATAAGCAAGATAATAAAGACAAGTGCCGACTGCTACGCAAGCGAATGACTGCTGATCTACTCGAATAAGTTTTTCAACACCATGAGCAGCAACAAAATCCATTGCAAATTTTCGATGTACTAATAATGATGCCAAATACTACAAACAAATAAAATAAATTCCATCGAATAATATAAACGACTTAAAATAAGAAACAAGCTGTAATATCGACGCATATCAATCGGTGAAAATTAAAATTTTTACTTTACACTTTAAATTTCAATAGCTTTCAATAAACTGAGTAGAATAGAATTAAAAAAAAAAAAAACAATTAAAATTTCACAAAAGTTGAATAAATCCGAAAAATCCAAAAATTCTAAAATTTCAGTTATGGAATACAGAAAAATATGAATCAAAAAAATATAAATCCTAACCTAAAAAAATATCACAATGATAAATATGAAAAAAAAATAATACTTACTCTTAATACAAAAAAAGTCAGCCGTACATCCTCTTTGTTTGCATCTTCAAGATATGTACAAATGATTTCAAGTGAACGATTTTCATAAGCCTCTTTTAATAACTAAAAAAATTCGGGAAAATTGGACTGATTTTGAAAATATTTTTGAAGAAATTCGATTTTCAACAAAAAATCGAAAAATAATAAAGAAATGACTGGAATTGTAAATAAGAAATAAGAATAAATAAAAATAAGAAATATTAGAAATAATATAAACAGACTGCACAAAATGGCTTACATCTTGATATTCTCCAAGAGATATTAAATATTTGAGAATCAATTTTTGATGCATTAATGTTGTAATAGGATATATTTGACAATTACCAACTTTCCTTTTCTGCAGTTCAGTCCATTGACTATTGCTAAGATCATCAGCTAGAGATACCAAGGAAGCAGTGCTAGAATTTTTTGGTCTCGCCTATAAAATTGCCAATTTTTACATCTGATTGGATACTACTTAATAAATAGTAACAAGTGAAACTTACATGTGAAGACAGTCTAGCCTTTTTTCTCGGAGGACTTTCAAGTTTTTCGACACCATTACTCAAATCATTATCAAAAGGATTAGTTCCAGATATCTGAGGCATTCTAGAAACCGAAATAAAATTGAATGAATACATCTATTATTATTCCATATAAAAGAATTCATAAAATGTACTAAGAAATTTTATATTTTATATGTAATTTATTAGAAATAAAAAATAAATTTACCGAAGAGGAACAGAATATTTATCATTATTTTCACTGTTATGTTCAACCACACGTTTCGCTGAATCCACTAGACATGGATGTTTAGCACTTGTTTCAAGAAACTGGAAAACCATTAAAATTTATCTATTTATCTTACCAACATTACTAATTTTAAAATTAAAAACTTTTTACGTTAATAAACTTGAAGTTCATTCACAATTTCCAGATTTTCCCTTGCATGAATAATTTACATAATTTATTTATAATTTATTTATATTTATATTAATGACTTTATTTATATTTAATTGAAATTTTAAAAAATATTTATGAAAGCAATATTTCTACAAAAAAAGTCATTAACCTCAGCTAAAACAGGTCTTTTTCTCTTATGGGATGATTCATTCTGCATCTGCGAAAGAGGCCCTTCATTAGAATAAACATTAGATGTTATTCCAATATTATTTTCCGAAAAAGTTTCAGCTTGTTGTGATTCAATTTTCATTTTCTCCTGTAACTTTTATATATAAAAATTTATTTTTATATTATACGTATTCTTATGTATGAAAAATAAGAAAGAACCTAAATGCCTTCAGAAAATCACCGAACTTTGGTAACAAGTATTAACTAACGAAATATTCCTTAAGAAGTCTTAGTGCAACTGGTATTAAAACAGCATTTTCTGCCTTATATTTCGAGGCAATATCCGTACTTTCGAGTGCATAAGCGAGCAAAGCATAGGACATACTTCGCAAAATACTATCTGTATCGGATCTTTCAGCCCATCTGTATAATTGAGGCATTACTGCTTCCTGAAATTGAAAATATTAGTAATTTAGCAAAGATCCTCAGCCAGATCCTCAGAAAAATCCATAACAAGTTTGCTATGAAATATTGCATCAAACAGATTACCGTAAAAATGGAGGTAGCATCAACGCCCTTCATACAGCTTAGCAACAAACGGGCAGCAGAGATATTTAACGAAGTATTATCTCGAGCCAATAGGTAAGAAAGACATAACTGAAAATAAAATAACCAAACAATTGAAAATTCGCAAAAAATAAAAATATTAAAATCTTTGTTATTTTAATGGAAGAAACAGAAATATCTTCCGTAACAAATATAGAAAAAAACGAAAAATTAAAATTTGAATTTCAGTCATATATTTCCAATTGCCAAGAAGTTCGATTAAAAAATAAATAATAAAAATAGATAAAACAAAGATGAAAATGAAAAAGCAACCTTGTTAATGAATTCCGTATTACGTGCTAAAATTTTTAGCATATGGCCATAAGTACATGAAGGAGACGTTTTTATCGGATGACGATGATCAAGTGGATCAGGATCTTGTCGGAGATATTCTTCACGAGATTTCTCAACCAGTTCTGCCAATCTTTAAAAAAGAAATTGTAATTAAACTATTAATTAAACTATTACTGAAATCGGAATTTCTCAAAATTTAGTCAGAAAAATTAATAACTACTTTTTTCATTTGAGACTTTCATATAAACTTAAAAAAATAAACATAACTTAAAAATAGCCTAAATCTAAATAAAAAATCTTTTACAAAATTAAAAAATACCCATTTAATGTATCGATCGGATCAAAATTAGAATCAACATATTCAACTTGCCACACAGACAAAACTGCTTGAAGCTGATTAACCAAATTTATCTGATTCTCATTTAACGCTTGGAGAGTACCGTGACCAGATTTTTGCAAACCAAAAATTCCAGACATTTGAAATAAAAAATGTGAGTTAATCTGAAAATTTCAGTTATTAGACCATGTAAAGATTAACTGATATCATTAATATAGCTTGGCAAAGAAAAATTTTTTTGAAAAAAAACTGCCTGAAATCATTTTTTAAACGAAAAATTATTATAAACAACAATAAATTTAAATAAATTTTGCGTAAATTTTAAGTTAACGTAAATTTTTCTGAAAATAAATATATGCAAATGTATGTAATAAATATAAATAAATACATCTGCAAAATTATATGGACAATTCAAGTAATTAATTAGAACAGTTTCTAAATTTAGAAAGAAATTTTAAAACAGCTTTACAAACATGTGTATTGATTAGAATAAATTTCAATCGCTAAATCAATAAAGGTTGAAAAAATATAGGGAGGGGGGAAAATGGTCGAGTGGTATATTGTTACCCTTTAGGTCAATCGTAACTTGCTGGCCGCTGACCTATTATTGGAAGTAAATTAAGATGATGCTGCGACTTACCACCACTTCTATCTCCGAGTGGCTCTCTCGAAAAGGGGTCTCAACCAGGAAATCTTCGAAGCAAGCCAACGCAGAAATGGCGATTGCTGCAGACGCGGAAGAATCTTAATAACGAAATAATCAATTGTAATCTATCGCAGGAATTTATGCGGTTATTTCCTATAGCAATTATTTGCTTAACGACCTAGCCAATATTTTTTATTCATAATTTTGTACATCATAAACAATATTTTGAAGAATAATTAATTATCGGCAATTTTCCCATAAAATAAACGCCACCGCCACAGCAGTAAACTATCATAGAAACGAGTGGAAACGTGTAAGGCAATGCTATTTCATCGTTAAATTCATATATTTCTTTTTTTATCTTTTGCGAGTTCTTCTATCGTTTCTCATTACCTAAACTCGTCGTAATGATGCATACAATTTATTTCATACACTTTCGCAAATTTAAATATTTATAACAATTTTCATTTATGAATTATATTCATAATTATATAAAACAAAGATCAAACAATAATAACGCTTAGCAAAATCAAACGAAACGATCAAAGATGAATAAAAGAGAAGTTTAAAAAATCAGCAACTAATGTAACTAATGTTTCAGCCAATGCAACTATTAGCGAATGAGCGGAGATTTCTAAACGAAGCAGAAACTAAGGAATCATGCGGATGAAAATTCCACGTTTGCACCGCGCTTCTCCAGCGATATTCAAATTCAGTTAGGACATTACGAAATTTTTCTGCCAATCCAATAATATCGATCACCGTTTGCTTTTTAAATACGAATCAGATTTCCCCGTTGCATTCTCTAATTCTCCATTCTAACATTGCTATTTCTATATTTCTTTGCTCTTTTAAGCCAAATTTTCCAATTTCAGCTTTTAAATATATAATTAATTAACAAAATGCGAATTAAAACAGCGCAAAGAAAAAGAAAATTTGAAATTTATTCAACAAATTTCGCAAATCCAAAAACCTAGGAAAGTGCTTTTTAATTTTGAATAATTTTTTCGTTTAAAAAACTATTTCAACGAATTTTTAAATGAAAATAAGTGTTAATTAATATTAAATAAGCACTATTAAAACAAAGGAATTAAAAAGTTTAAAATTTTAAGAAACATTTGGCCAATAATTTAGGAAAGTAACTGAAAAGGAAAATTCGAATGAAAAAAAGTCGACAGCAATGAGACCAACATATAACCGCGCACGCGCGCGCCTCAAAGGTTAACGCCCCTTTTGTCCACCTACTGTTCATCAATTAGTTTTAGGAAATTCGTCATTTAAATAGATTTTGTCATCATTCGATACTGGAAGCAGAAATATGATATAAATATGATTCTCTGTTCAAACAATCCTTCATTACCATTGTGGCTATTTAAGCACTTCAAAATGGTGAACAATATTTCGATTGGGTAACTCTGCAAGAAACATTCAAGGGGCGGGCAACACCCGACATAGGTCTGACGCTCTATATCGGAAATTTTCCAACGGCAACTTTTTACAAGTTCTTAGAAAGTGAAGTGGGTAATTGGTTTAAGGTTGGGTGTTGACGTGTGGGGGGGGGGGGGGGGGGGGGTTTGATGCTTCCACTTCGTGTTTGCCGAGGAGATTTGCCGGGGGACCGGAAATTTTCCTGCGAAGTTAGGAGTGGTTTTACTCCTTGTGAATCGTCCTGAGGTGAGCTAGTTGCGAATTTCTCTCATGATTCAAATTCAATTTAAGTTTGGTGGTTTGATGTGTATTTGAATTGCTCATCAGTCCGCACGATATTTCTTTAATAAAGCGGATGTCGGTGGGTGTCCGTTGCGAACAATGTCGACATCGATCGTGGGTCACTCCTTTTCAAAATAGAGATTTGTGGGTAGTTTCTCCCTTCGTCTTGAACCGCTCAGTGCTGTCTGAGTTGCTGCGTATTTATTTACCTCTCGTGACAATTTTTTGTCGATTCGCATAACATAATTTTCGATACAAAATTCATTCAAGAAACTAAAAAATCGAAAAATTTGCATATTCTTGAACTGCCTATGTTTAAAATAGCATTGGCCGTTAAGTAAAAAATAATAATGTTTATTATATTTTAGCAATTTTTAAGGCTTAATTATTCATATTTTTACCGTGTTTTAATCCATTCGCTTTCGTTTTCTTATCAAAAGATACTTCGTCTTTTCCATTTTTACAGAATTATTTGCTTTTTTATTATAATTTCTGCAGATTACAATTATTACAATTTCTGCAGATTACAATTATTAATATTACAATTTCTGCAAATGAACGATAATGTCGGTGTTTCACGATGAAATTGAAATCGAAGATTTTGAATTCGATGAAGAATTGCAAATTTATACATATCCATGTCCTTGTGGCGATCGTTTCGAGATATCCAGGTTATTTCTTTTGTTCTGTTATTTAAATTTTTCGTTTATTTTTTGTTGACATCATGTTTTATTGAGTAATTGTAAATTAGTTCGAATGTTTTAATTTGTGTGTACTTTGATATTTTTGATTCGCTACTTTGTTTTGTACCTATTTTCGTATGTTTTGAAAGCATTTTGGTTTTTGAGAAATATTTTTATGAAAAATTTTTTTTATCTATCACAACTTTTTCTGGATTTTGCTTTGTAAAATTATTAAATTTTCATTACAGGGAGATGTTAGAAGCGGGAGAAGACATAGCCACTTGTCCAAGTTGTTCTTTAATTGTACGGGTTATTTATGATCCAGATGTGTTCATAAAATTGGAAACTGTCGAATCGCAACCAATCAAAGAAATACTCGCTGATTAATTGTTGTTGGTATTTGGAAGGTATGTTTGATGAGCTGTATGGCAGATAGGTATTCGGGTTCGATTCTCGTGTTTTTGTTAATTTTTAAAATGGCTCTAATTTTTTTAATTGTAATTCGAATTGGTGCTTTGAACTTTCAGCGATCCCTATAAATTTTTTTTTCTTTTATAAATTTTATTTGTTATACTTTATATAAAAATGGTTTTTTGGACTGAATTTGCAATTTTCTTGTTTTTAATTTAAATATTTGAATTTTAATTTAAATTTAATTTTAATTTAAATTAAATTTTGATTTCAATTTTAATTTTTGCGCAAAAATTTTGCGTCCTTTTTTCACTTTACAAGTTTTTTAGAAATGGAATGCATATGAAATTTGATGGTTTTTTGATGATAAATGCTTTATTTTTTATCGATATTTCAATAATAAAGAAGAGTTTTTGGTTCTTTCGGAATTTGTCACAGCAGATCAGTAACTTGGTGGTGGGGCATAATCAAAGAAAGAATAAATTGGTGGTGTGTTATTGAAGAGCACATAGGTTAACATTTGCTCATCTTTTTTCTTTCTCATTAACTTTTTTGCGAGAAAATAGCAACAGTATGAAAATATTATAGCTATCGTGAATGACACAAATAATATCTGAAAAGGAGGGTTTATATTTAATGATTCGGGCAAAATTAAAGTTGACAAATTTAATAAATCAGCTAATAATGAATTAAATTGCTAATTATCGATTAATGAGCTGGACGAGTATTAAACTAAAATATATAAATTGCAATATATATCAAGAATAATGAAAAACTTACGAAAATAATGCGGCAAAAAGGAAAAAAATCCAAATCTCGAGCATCGGTTGATAAAAGCAACGAATGACTGCATTTTTCACCCCAAAATCGTGGTAGGCAATCCTGACAAAATGGCGGTGCAAAATTTGAATAACATTCGCACGTACGCGTAATTACATTCACTCTTCCATGAATGCCGCATATTGGCCATTGGCAGTGATCGCCTTCATAATTCTCTGGACATCTATCTAAATAATAAAAATAAACTAAATTCTGGATAATTTTCAAAATTTCATCTTACTGTTGCTACTGTTAAATAAAAAATTTCCTACAAAATCAATTTGAATCGCAAGAATTCGGACGGCGTCACTCGCTATGACGGTACTATAAATAAAGATGATACTCGATTAAAAGATTATAACCATGTGGGGTTCTTTCCACATAAAATGTAATTTAAATACAAGTTTTTGGTATCTCCCATTCTTACTGATGTTCAATGCCCATAATTGTTCACACTATATAAATGTAAATTTTCTTATGGTGTTACTTTAACGATGGTTCCATATAGTATATTCGTCAAGTGGGAAAAAATTTCTCAATAACAATAATCCTGGTTGGAGTTTCCTCTATTGGCAGTTCAGATTCCGGACTGAAGAACAGATTCAGAGTATTTGAAAATCACTTCAGCCAGTGGTGCATATATAAATATACTTCATCTGGAATTCGATCTTTCACTGCTCGATATTGTAGTTCTTCAAAATTATCAACAACGGTGCATTCACATGCAGTGACAGTAGCCCTGATGTAGGCCAATTCTTATGGCAGAAAGAAAGATGTGTCAGTTCTTTAAATACACTGGTGAAATGCGTTAATGTATCGGACGTCTTCTCTACGATGGATTTAAATTTTAAATTTTGTTAATTAAATTGATAATAAAAATTAAACTAATAAATTGTTGAATATTAAAGAAAGCAATCCAATTTGAAAAAATGGAATTGAGTAAAACTTATAAAACTTACTCATGCGAGGAAATTTAGCAGAGGTGTCAATAAAATAACGAATCGACGGATATCTAACCGAACAATTGCTTTTAAATCAAGTGAAGTTTTAAAGAATATCATTAAATAGTTGGCGAGTGAGGTGCACGCACACAATTTAGTGCTGTTTGTTGGACGGAATCGCCTCAAAAATATTTTTTCTTTCGAATACCTTCGAGAATTGTTGTGGGAATAAAAATTTTTTCGATATTCGAAAACATTTTCCACGAAATTTAATTAATATTCTTCGCCCATATTTGTATTTGGTCTCACAGATTTGAGCTGAATACACCTTAAGATTTCAATTTTATCAACGATTCATGCTTTGACCGATTTTTGACTTATTTTTTGATTAAAACAAATTAAAATAACTGTTGGCCAGCTGATACTTTCTGAATATTATGAAAGTAAATCGAGTGGATGCATCGCTTTGACTGGCTGCAACGAGTCCGATTAGCCGATAGGCGTAAAAATTGGTCTTAAAATTTCGAACGAGCATTATCGGATGGCCCATCTCTATTTCTGCCTCCGAGTAATTCCGATTTTCATTCTAGTTGGGCCAGTACAATCATAATTAATACACAACGTTAGGAGAGGAATGAAGAACATTTTTTTTTTTTAATTTGATTCTTAAAACTTTAGTTTATTTGCAAAAAATAAATAAGATAATATTAAAAACAAAAGCAAAATCGAATGTCAAAAAAATCGAAATTTATTCATTTAATACTAATTTTCCAAAAATTTTTTAAAATATTATTTATTTAATATAAAATATTATTATAGCCTCTAATCTTTTTTGCGCTCATAATTTGTCATTTCAGTTTTTAATAGAAATTAATTTTTTAAAAATTATTTAGGAAATTATAAGTACTTTGATAGTTTCTTTGCTTTTTTTTAAAAAAAAACGGTAATATATGATTATCATTCAATCAGTTAGTTGCGTTTGGTCAATACTTTTAATCACTGTAATTCAAATTGCCATTTGTACTTCGAGATTCCTGAAATATATAGTTTCGATTTCAAGTTTATAAAAAATCTTTTGGTACTTCAGAGAGTCAACCTGTCTTTTTTAATGAGGAATGAACTATCTTCATGATATTTGCAGGCTTCACCGACCTCATTTCCCTTTCTTCGCATTAAGCTAATTCATCATTTCCAGTTTGACTGACTCAAATGAGGCCTTCGCCTCACCCATTCGCTTTAGAATTACTCGATAGAAGTGAAATGAGAATCGCCGTTCTAATTCTCATTTCATTATTATTTTTGACAACAAAATTATCGAAAAATTCCTTCCAGCATCATCTCTAACATTAAAATAAAGTTCACACAACAGAGTTAATTGCTTACCGGAAAAAGAAAATTCTAAATTTTTTTCTTCTAATAAAAAAACCATTAAACTTTATTTTTGCTTAGAAAATGTGAATGAAAGTTAGCGTCATAAGATAGCACAACATAAGAGTTATTAAATACAATCATTCTTTCGAGAATGAAAATCATTTCATGAAAGGAAATTTCTGGAGAAAATTCCCCTAACTGCGATGATAATTCTCACTAAATGAATTCTCAAAAGCTTCGAAAAATTTATCGAAGAAATAAAAAAAAGCGCAGCTTCCGCAATCACAAACTGGAAATATAGATATTGATTTGAAATTAAGTTAAAATTCTTAGATCATGAAAAAGGAAAAAAACTGGAAAAATGTATGCAAGCTGAAAATAAAAGTGAAGACCGCTAACTTTATGGCAAAAAAATTCTAAATTCAAACAAAGGCGAAAAAAATATTTCAAAGTCTTATAAAAAGCATTATTATTATTTTAAAAGCATTTCCTTTTAAAAGTTATTTCAGAAAAATTTGACAAAATTTTAGACAAAATTTCAGAGTTTTTTAAAATTGCAAAATTAAATTTAAAAAATGTTCGTTTAAAAATAATTTATTTGCTAAATTGTAAATTATGGGAACGATTGGCTACTTTTTTCAGTAAAGATGAAATGTTTCATTGAAATTTTTAAAATAAATTTCCGTAACGATGGTTTTATCAAACAATGGTTTTTTATTTTATTTTATTTATTTAACAATGAATAAAAAAAAATTATTTTGATTGAATAAAAATCCATGAAATTGGTAGAATTTTAGAAATGAATTTAACTTGTGCTTTAAAAATGTGGAAATTGGATTTCTTGTCCGGCAATACAATAAATTAAAAAATATGACAAATTTATTGCCATTATTTGCTATTTATAATTTTATAGTTTTGGCAAAATGAGAAAATGAATACTTAAATTGAAGAAATGTAAGCAAAATAATAGTATAAATATTGTCGCAAAAGTAATTTGCAATTGTAATAAGTTTTCCTATAAACTAAAAATTCGAAATAAAATTTGCCTTTTAGTAGTAAAGACTTTTACAAATTTTTTTTGCAGATTTATTCGTTAGCAAAGATTTTCTTTAAATGAGTCTAATCGTTTATTTTACATTTATCAATTCAATTTCTTCGAAAAATTCGCAGAAAATTAGTTTTTTTAATTTTTCACCTTATTTCGCTTATGGAGAAAAAGGATTTATACTCGGCAAACCGACAAATTCTATTTTAATTTTAAATATCTTATCCGGTAATATTATAAATTGTAGATATCTTAAATCATTTAGAAATAAAATTTAACGAATGGCCAAATAGGTTTTAGTTAGAAAATCTTTCTTTTTCTGAAACTTAGAAGGAAAAATTGTAAAAAATTGCAATCTTCTTAGATATTAACCATATTGTTACTCAAAAATGTATTAAAGTGTTAAACGATCCATTATGCATTAAGCAAAGCCAGGATTTAATAAAATTTTCTTCAAGCGCTTTCTTTTGCTTTACATCTATCCAAACGTTTGAAATAAATTTGAAATTAAAGAGAAATAAAATTTAATAAAAATTTTGCAATATTTTTTTACTGGTTTATTCAATTATTATTTGTCATTAGATATTTCCAACAATTTTCCAACCTTCATTAACTTTATTTTTAGATTATACAAAATAAAAAGCAAAATAGAAAGAATAGAAAATGTAATGAAAATTTTGAAAATTTTTCTAATTGAACATTGATGAATTTGGAAGATATTTGTGTTTTTCAGTACCTTCATGGAACATATGCAAAGTCCTTTTCCAAATCCTTTCTTTTTCTGGTTGCTTATTGCTAACTGATATTAACCACTATTCAAACCTGAGATTTCCAAATGGGTGGGCATAGACCTCCCAGTGGCCGATGCAACTTTGAAAGGAGTCGTCGCATCGTTGCATACTTGTTTTTTTTAAATAAATTTGAAATGGCAATATCAATATTAATTATGAAAGTATTTCTTTCCGATTTAATTAGTTACCATTTTTATTTTTTAAAGATAAACCAAATAATATGTGCAAAATTTTGATGAATAACATAAAAATTCTAAAAGAATCAATAATATAAGAAAGCTAGAAAGTTAGGGATCCTTGAAGTGGAAAATAAATGGCAGAGTTGTGGCATGTAAGAGCAGTGCCTTTGGTAATGTCTCACCAGAAAGTCCAAAATTTTTTTTCGTTCCGCGTTTTCGAAATTTCCTTTTTGCCCTCAATCATTACTCATAATATGATATAATAATTTTGATAAAACGATGCTTTTTGCTTATTTCCGCTTTGTAAATTATAGTTTTAGAAAATTAAGCGATAATAAAATGGTGACGATGATGGTGACAATTTTGTTTAAAATTAAAATGCTTATGTAATTAAATCAATTAGATCGTCGATTTGCGCAAAAACATAAGCGCGAAAAAGGAAGAAACGCCGCTTGACAAAACTTGTTTTTATTGCTCATTAGCGAACCCCTTTCCCTCTCCCCGCAGTGTTCTTCTACATACTGCAAATGGCTAGACACAACCTTCTGGCGCTGGTAAACATTTTTTTCTACTTTTTTCTTGTTTTACTTTGTGAGAAGTTAGAATTCTTCACCTTAGAATCATTTAATCACAAAGGAAACTGAATTTTCAATGCGATTCAATTGCTTTGAATGGCACTTGTCCTGTGATATAAGTTTAAAAAATATAATTGGAATTAATGCCTTTTCTAAGGTTTTTTTCCTATTTTGCCAATATTTTCTTGAAAAAAATAAATGTTTTTTAGTATTTCGCTTTAGAATTTTTAAAAACAAAAATTTACTAGAAATAAAATAAATAAAAATTTATGCAATATTTTTCTTTTTTTGATTTTCGTAAATTGTGCTTAAATATGGAAAAAACAAATTTTTCTATTTTAATTAAAATTAATTGTCAACTTTAAAATTTAATATTAATTTTTTAATAATTTTGAGAATCTTGATTACAGTGATTTTTCTATTAAAACAAAAACTTTCCTTTGCAAATAGATGATTATATGCTGAGAATTTTTTCACACTCCCAGCTTTTTCAATTAAGTATTCGATTCTTAGAAATTTCGTTTCACAAATACATTGCTCATTTCAAATAGCACTGATTAAAATTTTATTTCTGAAGTGCAAAAGATTTTTTATTATTAGCCAATGTAAATATAAAGGGAAATTTAAGCTGAAGGGAAATTTGGGTTCATAGGTTTCATGCAGAAAAATGAATATTTCTTCGTTTTTTTTCGTTGCCATTTCAATTTCTCAACTTTCATGTTTCGTTAAAAAATTTGTTGCGATTTTCAATTCGAATTGACCTTATTTACTATATATATGCAGATAGAAAAATTCATTAGTTTATACAGTTTATTGCGAAAATTACGAAAGATTCAATGAAATAATTTCGCTAAGGTAGTTGAAGAATTGCTGAAGTTAATTGATAAAAATATTTGTTTAAAAGATAAATAGATTATTTTTACCATACTTTGCAGCGTTTACAAAGCAAGAAAGATTAAACTATTTCGAATCAGTGAGCACAAGATTCTTAGAAGAACTTATTAAGACTATTCGCCACAAACTCGTTTAGAAAGACCCATCAAATCTAAAATTCTAAAAAAAATTCTAAAAAAATTGGCTATGAATGCTTAGAATAGCATAAGCTTTCTCTATCATTAAAATCCAAAATTTCATAACTTTTAACTGAATGTTTTTATTAAATATCTTTAATTTAATACTATCTAAAGAATTCGGCGAATTCTTCCACTTTTTCACGTTTAATAAAAGAATTATTTATCAAAAAAATTTTTTGAGAAAAATAACTTAGAAGTCGTAAATTGAAAATATTTGCAAATATATAAAACTCCATTAAATTAACACAATTTCTTAAATTTACTCTCAAAAATAATTAAATTTTTGTCACTCTTTTTTAAGACGATAAAAGGAAAGTTTTTTTAAAGAGTTAATTAATTTCTCCTAAAATATTTTTCGCGACTAGTTAGTTAGTTATTTCATTTTATTCGTAAGCAACAAAGTTAATAATATAACAAACTGTGTAATTTCGATAAGCAAAATGCAAAGTGTAATTAATGAAAAAAGTGGTTGAAAAAATATAATTAATGTAAAATTGATTCGATTCGAGGCTCATACCTAAGTAACTCTTTGGCCGAAGGGTTTCATCCGTAATGGCCAGTGAAACCAGGCTGATAAGTTAATAATGCTGACAAAACTGCAAAAAAAGGAGGAACACAATTACAACCCTGCGCGATGAAATCTTTTAGCAATTTGAGTATACAAATTTTTTTTTCTTAACTTTGATTTTTATGTTCGATTTTCGAATTATTTATTTAGTCTTCATCAGATCGCATTGATAATTATTCGCTTTGTACGTTCTTAAAATTCAGGAAAAATTAATGCTTAAAAATCTTAGTGACTTCGATATTGATCTAAATTCCTTTAGGCAAATATTGCTTTCTAACGATTCATCAGCGATCAACAGCTGAAATTTAATTAAAAATAATGAAAAGAGAAACACACTATAAAAATAAAAATTATTCCATTAATTTTTAAATAAATACTTTACTGTAATTTTTTACAGCAATTGACTTAAGGATTACATTAATAAACACATAATTATCAATAAATATTTCTTTTTTAGTTAATTTTTCTTTTTCTATCTTATTCTAAAAATTTATAAAGTTACAAAATTTATAAGATACAAGTTTCTTGAATTTATTTAGGTGGTGATAATCTTATCGTTGGCATATGTTAAGGGACAAACACAAAGGCCAATATTTCCACCAAGTTGTGATCTCAATATTCTCATCATACTTGATCGATCAGATTCAGTCAAAGGTGGCTTTAATAGGAGTAGAGATTTCGTTGCTGATGTTTCTAATGAGCTTAATATCAGCCCAACTGCACACAGGGTTCGTCCCAATTCTTTTTGCAGCCAAGTTATTTTAATAGTGAAATTTTTTATTCGATAATTTTCATTATGGTTAAATTTCTGTTTAAATTTTAGGTAGCTATGATCGTTTATTCTGGTTTAAATTATCGTCGAGAAGTATTTAAATGGAATTTCGCAAAAAATACCGCTGATTTTCAAAGAATTGTGATGGGATTGAGAGCAATCGGAGGAACAACGAATACAAAGTAATTTAATTGCTATCAATTATTAATTATCACCCAGTGTTGTTAGAAATCTATTAGGACAGTAGTTTATAAATTTTTCACTGGGTTATAGCTCTGCTGAGCAGGAAAACCATTAATTTAGCGCTGCAACAATTCCCTACTAATTTAATCCCTAAACCAGATTAAGATTAATAATTATAACCAATATTTACTAAGAGTAGCACTAGAAGCGATTATATAAGCAAAAGGCAACCATTCCATTTATTATTTCTGCTTCAGAAACGATGAAACCCATGAAAATTTAGGGCATATTAATTCTTTGAAAATATCAAAAAAGTCGTCATTAACATATTTTTAAGACTGAAAATGTTTCCTTTATCTCTTTTCCTTCTTCTGTCATTTCTGATTAAGCTCGTTTGTCGGTGGATTGAACAAATTTTATCAGGAATCAGCTGGGTGATAAAAAATGTAGATGAGTCGTTAATCACCTGGACTTTTGAAAATAGATTATTCCTACAGAGAGACGTTCATTTATTCATTCCATTCATTTCACACCTATAATTTGCTTATATTATTACGATTATCAACGAAATTATTCCCTTAAAATGGAAAATTTTAGAAAGGCACTGGAAATAGGACTAGAATTGATGGAAACACGAAATAAAACAATTCCAACCTTGATTATGGTTGTGACGGATGGTCGAAGTGCAGATGATCCATCTGTACCCGCTAAACAACTCCAAGCAATTCCAAATACATGGATGTTTGCAGCAGCTACTGGAGATCCGCTTCTGGCTGATAAGTAACAAATTATTTTTCCAATTTATATTTAAACTGTTTCATGAACTTCATTGGGAAAAGATAACGAAAAAAACCTCGAAACATCCACCATTTTACCTGATTTTGATAGCCATTACATAGCCTAAAAATTAGAATAAATAGAATTGGACAAGAAATACTGCAAGAATTACATCATTTATTTATTTTTTTTGACAAAAATAAGCAATTTCCATACGAAATAAATTAACAACAAATGCTTTTTGAAAAAAATCAAATTTGCTTGCATGTGAAATAGAAACTAGTTTATTGAACTGGAAGAATTAAGCAATGCCATCAGTATTTCTGCACGATGAAACACTGAACGCTTCACAAAAAATTATCAAAAGAAAAAATCTGGTTGAAATTACTTATTGCAAAAGATAAACATCTTTTTGATGTTTTTTTAGCAAATAATTGGAATTGGAATAAATATTATTTAAATTAATATGCATAAATGTTTCCCTTAGAAGTTGCCAATATTCGTGATATGACGGAAGTCGAATACATAGGTAATAAGTCATTGGTACTTATCATTTCTACTTAAGCTAACTGGCTATTAGTATTTTTGGCAGTGATTCATTTGAGATTAGAAGTGGAGGTCTCCAACAGTACTCCGATATTTTCAGTGGCAAGTTTGCTCTTTTTTCTATTAAAGTAAAGATAATGGTTGTACCATTGTGGTGTTTCGGATGTAGTTCTATTGCATCGAATTCCATATTTGAAAAAGCTCTAATTGTGTGGGGACCTACAGACAGGATAGACTATGTTTAAAGAGGATTTTGCAATACTCAGCAGTATATGTGCTCTCACATTATGAGCAAATGATCATGAAAGCGATGGTTGCTGTGGCTAATTTAGATTGCTTATCTTTTGCGATATGATCATAGGATGATAGGAATGCGTGCGTAAGACATGGATTGGTTCTCCCGTAGCTGGGAATTATGGCACTGGGAATTAGAGAGAACGCTTTTTTTGCTTTGCCGAAGACTATGGACTTCTAGCCATCACTGCATACTTTCGGCATTAGAGAAAACTTCTAATTACCATTAACTTTTCTGAAAAAAACTAGTTCAATATCGGTATAAACGGTCAGACATTCGAAAAAATCACTATATAAGAAGGCTAATCATAGAGCGCTTCCAAGGCGTGCAACAACAGCGTCATAAGAGAAGGATTATGGTTCTGAACATAGCTGAAGACCGCTGCTCGAGTAAAGATGACCTTCACAAAGCAACCATAACTCGGGAAGAAAAATGATCGGAGATAACAATAATTGTTGCAAATCAATCCAAATAAGATGAAAGCATTCTGATTTCATTCATATACCATGGGCGAAATATCTATTTTATTTATTTTTTATTTATTCACCACTGGAGAGAATGATAGAATTTTCAATCCATTGAAGAATGTTAAGTTAAGAAGGAAGAAATTATTCGGATAGTAGTTAACTAACTAGAACTATTTTCTTCCGCAATATTTTGTGGAATCGCCATGTAAATAAGCATCAAAACAAAAGTACTTTTTTGAAAAAAACATCAAAACAAAAACAAAGATACGAATATTTTTTACAATACAAGCTATATATATATATATATATATATAAAGCTATATAATATACAAGCTATATCGTTAAAAAATATTTATATTGATTAGGCTACGTTACTTCATCAGAGGAACTCACGTATCGCTCTTCGCTGAAGCCTACGTCAAAAGCGAGGAGAAGCTGTTAAAACTAAAACTAGTGTAAAAGTAAATTTTGAATAGACAGGTAGTTAGTCAATCGAAAAAAAATCTTTTTCTCACCTCTTGGATGGTATGAGCCACTGCAATCTCGGATTCTCTGCCAGAGATCTAAGAGCTTGAGGGTTCTGCGTAATTTTTGGCTGTTTCTAATCATGCGCTCTAGTAAAGCTCTTCTGGATAGAGATCACTAAAGCTCCTGCAATTTGTTAAAACCACTTCTCTAGTTTAAGAGTCATAAATGCTCCAATTATCACTGGGATTACTTTGGTTTTCATTTTCTACATCTTCTCCAGCTTCTCGTTAATCTTTGGTACTTCTCTAATTTTTTCATATTCCTTTTTCCTAACATTCCCTGTAACTTGGTATATATTTATTACCAGTGCCGATTTCTAATTCTTGCCTACTACCACGACATCTAGTTGATTAACCAGTACTTTGTTTGTCTGTCTAGATGAAAAAGCTCTGCAGGATCTTGGCCTTGCAATTCTTTCGATCTTCTACAGAATCTCCCATCTAATTTTGCGATAGTGTAAGCCATATACAGATTATTCCTGCCAGCTACTTGATTATACCTTTTGGTGTTGTTCTTTCTTGCATTTTATATCTTGTCATTATGCATCAGACTGTTTCAGAAGTATTTCTGCAACCTTGAATTTTATCTAGTGTGGTAGATTCCTGCTTCAGTGGATCTTATCCCTAGTACCTGCTCTTCTGCTGTAATGGTTAATGCTGATTTCCCACTTGTCTTGACTTGTTTTTCCCACTGAGCTGACTATTTAAGATCTATCTTATTCCTTTGATGTTGTAGTTTTTCTTGTCTCATCATTGTGGTTTCCATACAAATATGGGATACAACGCCTGTAAATACTCTCTATATCTGGTATATACACTATACATGCCCTGCTGGCAGATCCGTCTCATTCGCAATAATTACTTTCCCTCTTTTTATTATCATCTGGCCACATTTACCAAGCCCAAATGATAAACCAGTGTCCTCGCTGGTATGGCAATAGATTGATAGGCTCAGAAACGTCTCTCTTGCGGCGGAGTGAGCCTAACCAGTAATAGGCGAGCTATAATTTTTTTCATTAATTTTTTTCGTTTTTGATTTATTTAAAATAACTTGCAAAAAAAACACGGAAATCCAGCATTTTATTATATATCGAATTATAGAAAAGAATTATTGGTACTTGGAGGTGAAATAAATCATGTAATTCTTCAAAGTGGTCGTGAACTTGCCGCTGATATCACTCGAAAATTACTTCGGCAGGCTCAAGATAAATGTCGTACAACAACAACATCAACAACCACAACAACAACCACAACAACAACAACGACAACGACAACAAATCCAATTTCTGGTTATCTGCATATTTTTCATATTTTTAAATTTAACACATTTTATTTAACAATGAAAATTTAAACATCATTTAGTAATAACCTCCATATTTGGGCTATCAGCGTTTTTTACAACGTACAACCTATACACATTCGTTTAAGCCGTTTATTAAGAATCATTTGCTTAGTTTCAAATGAATAATAATTAAATATGGTTAAAGTACTGTTCTAATAATTCAATGATATAAAATATAATAGCCAGTTGGTGGAATGTTGAGGCACCTTGGCGAGGTTTTGACACGATACTGTGCGCAAATACTTGGTTCCGACGGGATTCTTAGAGAATATGCAGCCTGCAGAAATTTTAGGCAAAATGAGCGTATGTCAACGGTTTAGTTAATGGATTTTAAGGAAACGTGACATCTGAAGAGATATTTATCGTGATTTCGCGATTTTTGAATTTTTGTACGCATGAATTTTCATTTAAATATAGCGGTCATCGTGGAATTCTGAAATTTTCTAGGATGTGAAATGGACTTAGTATTGGTGATCGATTTATCAACGACAACAAATCCGATTTATAAAAATTATATCGAAATGAGCGAGCAATTAATTAATCGTCTGCTAATCGGTTCACGATATACGCGAGTTGCTCTAATAACATTCAGTTCAGTTGGCAAAACGCATACACATTTCAATCTTAATAAGTATTTTTTTAATTTTTGAGATATTAATTTAAACCAGTGGCCAAATGGTCAACTTTTTTTTCGAATGGAACCCAGTGTAATATTTTTAAGTTCTAAATCTTAAAATATCTGTTAAATTTTTCCAGCTAGGAGCTTTGAATGAATAACATGCATGTTAAAAGTGATTTATTAGCATTATTTATTAGCAAATAAAATAAGAATATATAATTCGAGTAAATCTATCTCTCATGTACCCTCTGAGAATCCCTTGCATTCCACAGGATCCGTGGAGACCATTTTGACGACCACTGATTTCTTCTCTAAATCTTTCCTTCCGCTCATTAAAATGTGATATCATTATCTTTAATATGTATTCTTTTCATAGATATGATAATGCGAATTCTGTGATCGATGCAATTAAGAGAGTTTCATCTACAGGTGGAACCACAGCTGTTGGTTGGTTCTTGAAAATTTCAACTTTTTTCGAATGTTCTTAATGTTCTTGTCGAATATTTAATTAATCTTTTAATTCTTAACTTTTATCATTTTTAGTTCTAACAAACATAAAGTGAAAAATGCAAAAAAAGAAAATTAAAAAATTAACATTGATTTACAATTGCAAAGTAAATCGATTTGAAACATTAAATTCTGCGGTTTATTTGCAAAAAAGATATATTTCGCCAATATTTGTTACATATTTGGGAAACGCAAGTTTTATTCGCAGTGGACTTTATCCAAATTTTTTTCTGAATACAATGTACAATGAACTTTCAAGTTCAATACTTCCAGAGTTATGTTGCGATCTAAAAATTATATAAATTTTTGGAAATTGATCTATTAATATCGCGCAGTGCGGTAGATTCGATGCATTGATAAAAATAATTATCAGAGTCATTATCAGAGTATATTATAATTTAAAGATAAATATAGTAATTTTCATAAGATTAGTTCTTATGGAGACAGTGGTTTCAAGATGGACAAGATAATCGTTTTTTCACCTACCATTGATAATTATTTGATTTATTTGAGCACTAAATAATTGGCACTAAATATTTGCGCATCAATATTTGCTTTCAAAATGGTTTTTCTTTTTGCTAATCCAAAAATCATTGGATTTGATACAATACAATGATAAGAGGAATATATGTGAATTTTTACCACAGATAATCATCATTTATTTTAACAGAGAAAATAAAAAGATATTAAGGCGAAAATCCATATTTTTTAGTGTGAGATTATATTACCTGTGAGATTATGGATTGTGTGATTGTATTTTATGGGCTAACATTTTTCGGGTGTCATTTTCTCCTAGATTTTTATTTGTAAAAATAATTGGTATGAAGCATGTAATAATTATTTTTCACTTTTTAGTTTTCGCTTCTTCTTCTAATAGCTCTCATTATTACTGGTTAGGTTGGCTCTGCTGGCTGCAAAGGTAAATATCTCCAAGCTCTTCGGTCCGACGCCATTGCTAAGTAATAGAGACTTTTTTAGCCGTCTAAGTTCATATATCGCTGGTCCCCTATACGTTCAAAATCTTTCCTAACTATATCAGTCCAGATTTTGATCCGTCTCGCTTTTGACGTCAACCATTACAGGGTTCGGAAATAGTGAAATATGCGTCAACTATGGTGGTAGACGACGGAGAATGTGCCCTAACCGGCAAAGGCAGCACTCTGTGATAACATTATTAATACAGGTGGTATTTGAGCGAAGATGGATATAAGATGTGAGATTTTATTCACTATACGAACCCGTAAAATGTACCTTAAACAAGAGTGGTCAAAGGCAGATAACTTCTGAATATCCTCCACTCTCATTCCTAATCCTTCGGAAACATTCCTATAGTCGGGATCCTTTAGTATTCATCTGCCATTCCAGAGATGTCACTGTATTTCATTGAATTTTTTTAATAATACGGTTTGAAATGCGCTTTTTGTTCCCAGATTCTTTAATTTGAGATAATTGAAAGATCTTGGGATATATTGTTTCTTACAACTTGACAATATGCGAATCTTGGCTCGAACCATTACATGTCTGATCGATGATGGTTTTCAGTGCTCCGATAGGAAGGATTATCAAGTGAAGAACTTTTCCAGCGGCGACTGACCAATATATAGTCAATCTGATTCGAATATTGATTATCCGGAGAGTTCCACATGACTAGGTGTCTTCTCCGTTACCGGAAGCAATATATTAGTAACAAAAAACTCATGCTGTTTAGCAAAACAAAGAAAGCATTACCCATTGCGCACTGGGTCCCTATGCCATATTTGCAAATTGTTGAATTCATCGTAACGACCTACGTGCATTCCAGTCTCTCTCGATCATGACTATTAACCTCTCGGTAGAGACGTTAATAGTTGAAGCTCCGCATAGAAGTCCTTATCGTGAACAGTTGCACATAAAGTTGGATATCTACACTGATGATCGAAAATTGCAGAAATTTCCTTTGAAATAGGCGTAAGCCATGCGATCATTTATTTACTGACTTCTATTCAATCGGAGCTGATCGAGCCTTTTCAGATAAATGGCAATCGCCATTTCTTTCCTAGCTATCTGAGACACCACGATGATATAACCAATATCTTTGCTCGGAAGCAGGTTTAATAATTACTCGAGAGTCGATATGAGGAGGATGGACCTCCGACAAACAGGCCACATCCAGGTGGTATTAGAAAGAGTGTAGAAAGTGATCGCTTGGCTTGCAATATCGATAAGCGTTCCAATGGTCCAAGCAGCTATAGCCAGCACCTCGCAACGCTTATAAAGTATTAGCGGATAGATTCTCGCCTCCCTTGGTTTTGAGTAATTATCTCGGTTCGCGAACAAATTCTGTGCTTATGCATTGGAATTATTTTATTATAATTATTATGTCGGGATCGTACATTTATTACGTGTACCACTGGATTAAAAATACAATGCACGTCGGAAGAAGCGGACGCCGCGGCAAAAAAACCTAACTTTTTCACCACAGAGTCACTTGTGGACAAAGATATTGATGGATCCCCAGCAACCACCCTGATTTTTGACACCATGACAGATTTATTCCTGTCAAAAATAAAGATAAAGATAATTAAACCTAAAAAAAAAGAATTTTATCTAAAGAAAATTAAAAGAATAAATGAATATTTTAAGAAAAAAAAATGATCTAATTAACAGAAGAAGATAATACCATTACTTAATAATAATGGTACGTAGTAGTAAATAATAAATAAATTACAAAATAATAATGGTAAATTATAAATATCTTTTTATCAATTTATTGATTAATGAGCAGAGCACTTTTTCGGCACAACAACTCATAGAACAAAAACCTTTTTATCACTTTTTGGCTTGTGAATTAGTTAAAAATTTCTATAGAATTTTTTTGTTATTATCCAGACATTTTTATTTTCCATTTATTTGAATGTTATAATTTCTTTTCCTTCTTAACAATTGCTTCTTGATAAAGGTGAAGGCATTCGAATTGCGACCGAACAACAAGATGAAAGAAATGGTGGAAGACCGTTAAACATAGCTAAAAAAGTGATGATAATATTTACTGATGGATGGTCAAATAAGGGACCTGATCCTGAACAAATGAGTAAAGCAGCAAAAACTGCCGGTTTTACTATTTATTCTGTTGCATATGAGGTAATTTTTCAAGATATGTTTGTATTCACATAATCTTCTGTTTCTTTCAACAGTGTACGATATTTCCGGTTTTACTCCGATTTATTTGGTGATATATGTTTCAGAGTCAAAAGCCGGAAAATGAGGACTATGCTGGTTTAAATCAGTACACCATTGAAGCTGTCGCAGATGATTTAAAACATATCTACAATGAACGGAACTTTAATGAATTGGTCGAAGAATTAAGAAAGCGCAACGTGCCGTGCATGTGATCCATGAAGCTGCTTATTTGTGCTGAATGTGAATCGTATTTCTATTTCCAATCCAATTCGATTTAAGGAAATTCGCTTCAAAGCGAAATCCTTTCATATGAATATAAGTGATTTATGAAAAATTTATTTAATTTTATTACTGCTGTTAAAATCCATCCATTCGAATTTTATTTTAAAAATAGAAATAATTGCAACTGAATCAGCGAAACTTTTAGTTCTTAAATTACTCTTTGAAATGTCTTCTTTATTCTTCTTTTGTTCACTTTCCTTTCTAATTTTTTCCCTTTCGGATTCGCTTTTCAATTAAGAAATTTTGCATTAAGAGAAGCTCTTTAAAACGACTCGGCTGCCGCATTAAATTTTCTCCCTCTGTTTCAGATGTGTGGGACACAGTGGGGCGAGTGGGTAAGGTTGTCGCGCTGAGACACAACGGTGATGCCCCGTCCCTCCTAGCAGAAACCCATTATTGAAGAGTTCGGCAACCAACCCATACCTCTATCGAGCTAGGCAACCAGAAATTCTAAGCGCTTGTCACTATTTCAGATACCTAAAATGATTCTATTCGTAATGCAATTAGATATTCGTATAGAAAATGAATTTTCTTGCGCTAATTCGATAAATTATAAATAGAAATGCGACGAAAAATGGTCGTCTCGAATATTTAACTATAGAAAATTCTTATTATTCCAATTTAGAATGCATAAATTCATAAAAAATTCAAAAAATTTCCCCTTTTAATGCGTAAATAAAAATTTATAAAAATGCTTTTTTCTTTGACTTTACGATAAAATTTTCAATAAAATCTTTCGACCATTTTTTCATTCAGAATTTAAGAAAAAAATTTGTGCGGAAAATTCTGAAGACACAAAATATTTCAAAAAATTTCATAAATTTCGAAGTTTTTTTTTCAGCAAAATTATTCGGTTGACTTTTAAACGATTTTTAGTTTTTTTTTTCAAACAAATTGTCATTTTTTATTAAATTTCGATAAAATTAGTCAATTCTGTCAAATTAAATCGTATGAAAAATAATGAACCATTTTCTTTCATCGGCACATTTTACCTTTTCCTTAATTCTTTGCCCTCCCAGAATCTCATTTTCAATTTTGTTATAATATACCATAATAAGTCGACGAACCGAACTATGCCCAAAACAATGCAACGAACCGCTCTTTGCCTGTGCATTTTTATTATTATATATTTAGCATTAGTATTATATACGTAAACCTCCTGCGGCGGAAAATTAGCAAATCGACCATCAACTAAGCAACCCACATTCCACACTTGCATCAAATATTCAAAATGGAACAACAATGAGACTGACATGGCCCATCCGCAAGGATTATACGCAAATCCACGAAGAGTTAAGTGTCCTTTTTTCAGATAGGAGAGCCGAGTGACGAACGATCAGCTCAGAGTACTGTAGTAGTGCTGGAGGTCAAGAAAGAAACCGCCTTTAAAAAACCCGCATAACTCCATCGACTTATTTGCATCACCAGCTGATAAAATTAGCATAAAAATTTATGGCCATATTAATAAGCAGCGGAGCGAACCCAACCAGAAACGTAGAGCGCTAACCACTCGTTTATTTACGAACAGCTTGCAGCGACATTTCCTAAAAACCATCCATGATAAATAGGACTGACAAATCGAATAAGCGTCTTTCGAATACGAATTTTGCTTTACTTCATATATGCTTGAATATTCAAAATCTGTAAAAATAACGATTTCCAAAAAAAATTCATTCAAATTGAAAAGCTTCAAAAAAAATTCACCAAAAAATTGTATATAATAGCAGCGATCAACAAAATCACAACAACAAGAACCACAAAACTTTTACATCGAAAAAATACTTTCATTGCGATTTCAATGCTAATTAATCGTCGAAAAGAGAACAACGTTTGTCTTTTACGCAAAAAACAAAATCTTTTATATAGTTTTACAATCGAACACAAACTATGCTTTAACAATATGGACTTAGAAAGTGAAAATGAGAGAAAAAATCCGCAAGAGGCAGGAGAGAAGATAAAACACAACTAAAAATACCACCCAGCTGTCTGTACATATGAAATTATTACCTAATCCAAAACTCGAAATTCTTACTGATTTTATTTTAATAAATAAAATTTTTGACTTTCATTAATAACGAATAAACCAATGTCAATGTAAAATGTCAGCCAATGATTGATTATTTTTCAAGAAAATTGGAAATTGAAAAAGATTGCGCGAAAATCACTGAAATATGCAGATTCGCGATGAAAAAAAGAGAAATGGAGCAGAAACAATTCAAATGAAATTTTAAAATTTTTTATTCGAAAATATTCTAAATATAAATATTTAATTTCAAAAAAAAATTTTAATTTTTTTGTGACGTAAAACGTTTTTTATCTTATCATTGCTTATAGAGAATTTGCGAAAATAAACCATTATAACGGCAGTGACATTAAGTGAACATTTTTATGAAAAAAATTCGAGTAACAATTAAGTAAAAATATGACCACAAAAATAACCTTCATAACTTAGCAGTTCACCAAAAATCACCCTAAACAAGAAGTTAATTTATCCCGTGAATAAATTTTTATTGCGAGTTCCGGCAACACTCGGCAGTGCTAAGCAAATTCAATTCGCGCCGGGTGAAGATATCTTGTCTTTCCCTGCAATATCACCAGTTCTTCAGTCGACTTCGACACTCCACCGTTTGCGAAATGAACTTACTGAGATGTTGGTTGTAATCAAAACTACTACGAACCACTGATTTGGTGGTTCACAATCACTAATTTATTCCTAAGAATAACTTGTTACCCAAAACCAACCAAACTTATATAATTTATAGTTATTAGAGAAAATTTTGCGAAAAAAAGAAACATAGATTTGCTCATACAAATGTTCTCTGAGGAAGAACAATAAAGCTTTAATGATGTAAAAAATAATAAAAAAAACTAGCAAATTAAAATTGGCAGCATTTTTTAAAAAATGAAATTTTTCCAAAAGTAATCGCCAGAGAAGCAATAAGCATTTGAAAAAAAAAGCAAAGAAAGTAGTCCATAATTGCTAAATTCGTTATTCGTAAAAATATAAAAATAATTTAAAAACTCTTTGGAATGTACCATCCATGCCTTTAAAAAAATCTCAATGAAAAATTTCCAAGCTTTTTAGGGAAATAAATTTTGAAAAGAATTCCTTCATCCGTTTGTTGCAATTTCATATTTATAAAATAATAGTAGGATAAATGTAGGATAAACATACTTGGATGAGCCGACAAACAGCAAAAACAAGAAAGAACAGATAATAAAAAAAGAGGAGAGACTAGCGTTAGGCTTAACATGATAATTATATACATCGCTCGAATAATTTTTGAGATTCGATATTCATCAGCCCTCAAAATAATAACATAACACCGGTTTTAGCAATTCAAATAAATCTATTTGATTTTAAACGAATGTTGATGCAGAATCCCTTCCAGGTTTATCACCTGATGAACTAACCAATGTTTTATTTGGCACATACTGACCTGGAAGATTTTTTATTTAAAAGCAATTCTTCGTGAAAATAAAAGAAACACTTTACGACCGTATAATAACTGAAAATACTAAAAAAATATAAAAATACCTATAAAAGAACCGTCCTCGGTAAATCGACCAGGATCAGTATCACCATATTCAGCCATTGAATCAGTTTCTGATTCAGCTTTGCTACCGGTTAAAGACTTTTTTTCATCATCTTGCCTGCAAAATTTTATTGAAATCAAAAGTAATTCTTTATTTTCTTTCATAAAAAGCTCTCCAACTAATTCGGATAAAAGATGCAAAATTACGAATAAAGAAAGACTTACGGTTTGATATATTCACCAAAGCCACGTTCTTTACCAGTTGCCAATATTGGTTGTCTACCTTGTTGTTTTTCTTTTTCAGAAACAGGATATTTCGCACCTCTTTGCCTGGCAGCAACACAAACAATACATAGAATAATACATAGTAACAAAATAACTAGCATAATTATGATCAACCACCAAACCCGAGCACTACGCACTGCTGAAATAAGTTATCTTTAAATAATTTTGCCATAATAAATGATAAATTTATCGTACTTAAATGATAACTTTACTTTATGGTAACCTTTCGCATATTTAAAGAAAAATGAAACATTTTTAATGAAGAAATATAACTGAATAAAAATTATATAAATAGAAACACTCACGAGCACCAGTGGTACTTATATGCGCAATACTTGATTCAGTCTCTCGCGTAAAACCAGACGGATCTTGCTGCAAAGATACAACTGCTATATCATATTTCGTCCCAGGCTCCAAATTACCAATATGCACCGATAAATTATCGTCTAAAAAAACGATAAAAAAATAAAATCGAAAAATTTTTTCATTATTATCATTAAAATGATTCAATTAACCAGTGAAGGAATAAAGCAGTGCATATATTAGCGTTAATGATTCCCTTAAAATATTTTCATAATACAATATATAATATAAATATAACTTTTTGAAAGGTTTAAGATTTTTAAGATTTTTTTAAACAATGCATAAATTTTGAGCAAATAACAAAATCAAATTTAAAAAAAAAGCGAAAAAATTGCGACGAGCCTTAACTCCAAATTTTTTTAAGCACTGAAAAGAGGAAGAGAAATAATAATAAAAATGTCATAATTATAGCTTAACCAAATAATAATTGAACAATGAGTGTGAAAAAAAGTGAGGGATAACAGAAGTTTCTAGAAAACTCCGATTTTACGTGGATTTAGCTTTCTGCCAAAAGAAATAAAAATATTAATAATAAAGGCAAAAAACTGATTTTCGTTTTTAATTAGTTATTACCAATTTGCACCGATAAACTGTCGTCTAAAAAGGAATATTCCCCAATATTGCAATCAATTATTATTACTATTATTCACAATTCAATTCAACAAACAATAAATCGACAAACATGCATCATGCTGCATACACAATTTTAATGGAAAATGTATAATAGTAGAGCTACCACTTTAAAAATCTTAACAAAATTTTGAATTAATACAATTCTTCCCTCAATACTACTCCTTTACCTTTTTCTCTTCATTATCGCAAATATTAGTTTTGAGTTATAGAGAAAAACTTCCTTATGCTATATCAATGCGATATGTAAATTAATGCATTATCAAAAAATAATAAATTATTTTCATTCATTTATTTTAATAATTTGACTTGCAAGAGCTAAAAAATGCTTTGATCTGTGTAATAATTTCTAAAATTTCATTAGAAAAAACCAGCCTTCCGGTTTAACAGTTTGCCACTTATCATCACCAGCCTTTCGATATTTCACATACATTCCATTGCCGACAGGTCGTTCTTGGCTTTTATCATAATCACCAGGCGTTAATGTTACATTTATATAATCATCACCAACACCACTTTCTTCCAATACTGGCTGCATTGGTTCCACTAAAACTAATAGCTATTTCATATACTTAAAAAAAAAATTCTCTTAAAAAAATCCAAAATTTTTAAACAGAAAATATCTAGAAAAAATAAATATTTAATACTTCAAATCTGTAAAAAAGAAATCGAGAAATCCCATTAATTATAACTGATAAAGATAAATGTGATAAGGCACTTACTTTCGGCACGAAAAAAATAACTAAATATCAAATAAAGGAGAAACATCTTCGATGAAAACAGCAGACAGAGAACTGACTGAACAAATGATAAAAATATTTATTTTTGATTTGTATTATGATGACGCTGCTGATACGAGAGCGATGGGAAAAGAGGAAATGGAACCAATCAACCGGCCGTTTATAAAACCTGATTTACTCACTCTAAAAACCGATCTAACTACCTCGTTCTTTCTATTTTCTTCTATTGATATGCGTATATATATTTCTCATCAAAATATTAATTTTACTATTGCTATCCTAAAGTGCGAATTAATTTAACAACACTGAACACAGCTCACTCTCGCTATAATAAGAATTTCTTTCCATTCATTATCTAAGATTTCCTTTCTCTTTTAATATATATCAGCTAAACAAATAACACATTTAAGCTATTTTCCAATAATATTGCGAAGTTAAATTTTATATCGTCTAATCATATAAATTTTATTCCTTCCTTTATCCCTAACCTATCAACGAAATTACATTATATTTTCATAAATTTCTGCATCTATGCTACTATTATCATTTTAAATAACATTCTTACAAGCAAAATTTTCCTCAAAATGTATAATTTATTAGCTAACTTTTTTTAAATGGCTAGTTAACGATAACAAATAATAGCTTTATCACCATACTTAGAAGACTTTTCATAATGATTTATAAGGAAAAGAACCTGAAATAAAAAAAAACTTACAGTTCATATTAACAAATTCAGGCAATGTCCTAGCATCTCTCGAATTCGGATCACCTTTGCCGGCATTTGTGGTTCCATAAACAACAAAACGATATCTCCTGTCATAATCCAAATCTGTTATTCTTAATGAATTCTCATATACACCAGTCCACCTAAAATCAATAACCTTTGCTAATGAACAGTTTTGGCAGTAATTTATAAATAATTTACATGTTAAAGGTCACTGTTACCATTCATTCCAAATATACTGAATCTCATCACTTAAAAATTATAATTTATAATTTTGCAACATATTTATCGATTTTCGAATAATTCTTCATTATACCAATTTTATTGGGATTAAATCGGCTGTATGACAAATCATAATTAGGGAAAAATTCAATCCGCTTAGTTCAACAGGTTGATCGCATCATGTCAAACTGAATAAGAACTGATGTAATTTTTACGGCCTTATAATAACAAGTCTTATTCCCTCATCATTCTATGCCAAACATTTGTCGACAAGCAAAAAAAGAAAAAGAAACTTTTAGAGTAAAAAGTCCTAATTCATAGTTAAAATGAATTAAGGAAAGAAATATCCCTCTTGCGAATGAAGTAAACAAAAAAAATAGTTGTTATCGAATATAAATATATAGCGAAAAAAACCTTTGGGGGCAAATTCCACGATTTGCGAGTATACCGTCATCACTTATTGCACATGTTTCAATCGTATAACCATTTAAAATTCCATTATAAAATTTCGGCCTTTTCCATCTGACAATTACAACTCCACGTTCTTCAGCATCACGATTATTCATTGGATAAACTTCTAGGTTTCTTACTGGAGTGGGCACTAAAATGTTACTGATAAATGAAAACACATTTTATTCTCATAAAGGAGAAAAAAATATGATAAAAAACATGAGAAAACAATGAATTTAAAAAGTCATGAAAAAATCTTTGTTTCTAAAAAAAGATCCCCATAGATTAAAAAAAAAACTATACTGAATTAAAATCTTAATATTATAAAGCCACTACTTTCACGGTGGAAAAATAAATAATTTTACAACAGCGCTTTTCTGCAACCATGCAACACCTTTAAAAATGGCGAAATCTTCAAACTTTTTTTGAAACCTATGGATATTTTCTCGGAATTTATAAAACATATATCAACATAAAAGGAAAATAATGCAATAATAACGAAAATATTTGTAACCACTTTTGTTGGAAAAGTCACACGTATTACTCTTCACTTTTCAGTTTTGCTTTCATAATTTATAAAAATGCTAAATTTTAGTGAAAATAAAAGTAAAGACCATGTTCACGGCAGTACTTTGGAACTACTTGCTAAGTCTAAGTCTAGAGCGCTCTTCACCAAATAAAATGAAAACATAGCAAACCTCCTTCTTTGGTCCTAAATGCAATTGGTTCAGTAGGAGCTCCTTCATTTTGTCCATTTAATACAGATATTTGTGCATAATTGACGCTATTTGGGCGTAGACCAAACACAACTGCTTTTTTTTTATCAGGTGAAAATATGACACTCTTCCGTTCACTTTCAACAACATCTGGTACTGAATTGCGTTTCCTTCTAGCCACTGAATACCAAACCTTAATTTAATTTAATTTAAATTTTGAAAAGTATAGATATTAATCGAAAAAAATTGAAATCTTAAAAAAAGCTACCTGGTTTACGGCACGCTTCCTTCGTTTCGCTTCCCTTTCATATTCTTCATCATCTTCCTCATGCCAGTGAGTAATCTTTAAATTTAAATTCAAATCAAACTTTCGAAATAATTCTTCAAAATATGAAGACATATTTTCTTAAAATTTTTTTATTTGAAACCTTAATGCCAGTGAAATTTCCTTGCACTTGATGAGGATCAATAGGATCCCATTCAAATACTGCGGAATCAGAAGAAGCTTCAATTAATTTAAAGCCAGTCGGAGTAAAGCCAGGGTCACCTTCACCTGTATAACCTTCTATGGTTTGTGGAGCAATATTTGATGTCCCTAATTCGTTTACAGCGCGAACCTGAAATCATATTCCATGCCACGTTGTTAAGCATGCAACTTTTATGTTTAATTCTTAATTCTTAGTTTATATGTAATTCTTTATCAGAATATTTTTAAAATGAATACTTGTATTTCGTATGGACGGAATGGCTCCTCAGTGGATAATTCAATTGTATGACGATCACTGTATGGATCGTTGACTACTTCTTCCTTCCAATCGCTATTCGATCCGGACTAAACTTTTTTCAGAAAAATTAAATAATCTCAACTAAACAATTAAACAAGCTTTATCAAGATGGAATATCACAATCTTTTATATTTTTAAAAATATTCTTAAAAATATTGACTGCAAACTTTAAAAAAATCTTACTGGACGATATTTAATAACATAATGGAAATTGCGGCCATTCCAATCTTCCCTTGGCATCGGCTTCCAAAAAACAATTAAATTTTCAGGCCGAGAACCAGCAACATAAACGCCTTCAGGATTCTTGTCCGGCACTCTAGCTGGTGTTTCGCAAATTCCTTTAACATTTGATGGCGATCCATCACCAAAATCATTCCGGGCGAATACACGAAAATGATACTGTAAAAATCTGACATGAAAAATGATATTCAATGATATTAGTTATATCGATGGCAAAACAGAAAAATAAAACCTTTCCAAATGGTCGCATAGAAACATCGAGAGATCCTTTCAAAATACGTTGATTATTTTCTACTGCTTGAATTGAATCAGCGAGAGCAGGATGTGGATGTGTTAGCCAAATTGATCCATCAGTTTCCACATCAATTTGATATTGCGCCCTAAAAAATTTGAGTTAAAAATTGGAAAAAAAAATTGGAGTTAGTTCTTCGTACTTTCACATTTCACACTTCATTTATCTAGATAACTGGAATAGATTATATGAATCATAAAATTACGTTAACATAAAATAAACTGGACCCCACCATATTTCTTTCACAGGTAAACCAAAATCACTGTCCTCCATGTACTCAAATTTGATCGTAGCAACCTGGGCTGTACCATCACATTTAGAAAGGAAAGCCGAATGAATTGGATTTGGCACATCTAAAAAATAAAAATAAAAAATACAGACAATTTAAAAAAAATAAAAGAAGAAATCATTTAACTTAGAAAAGAAAATTAAAGGAAAACAAACCATCAACTCGGATTTGAATAGTTTTTTCAGCTTTATCAAGATGTGTTCTTGCAATACAAGTATAATTAGCGGCATCATATCTAGCAGGATTAGTAATAATTAATGAATTTGTATCTGCTATGCGATAATGACCTGATTCAAGATGTTGCTCGGGAAGTGGCTGAAAAAAGAAAACTATTCAACACTGCATAAACTATTCAACACTACGAAATTTTATCTCGTTCATATATTTTTTTTAGATTTAACAATTTGAGCAAACAAACTTTTCCATCAACAAGCCATTCGTAAGTGACATCGAGATGCTCATCATGTTTTGCGTCACATTTTAAGTCTAGTTTTTGGCCAGCAAGCACATTCTGTACATAGTTTTCGAATGGGTCCAATCGCGTTGCTTCTAAAAGAAAAAGTAACTCAGGTTACTTATTTTTATGGATTATAAGAAAAGTTTGAAGTTTGAAAGAAAAGTTAGAAAATTTTATTTTTATGGATTATAAGAAAAGTTCGAGAAAAAAGTAACCTCTAACAATAAGGCGGGCTGACCCGTTAGCTTTACCATATTTGTTTGCACCGACGCAAATATATTCACCTTCTGCATCTTTTCCAACCGCTAAATTATTTAAAAAGGAAATAAAATCATAAATTTGAAAAAAAATTACGTTAACATGTTAAATATTATTATTATTGTTAAATATTTTAAATGGAAAATTTTGTTACGAAATTGTTTATAAGTTTTCCGAGAATTTTAATTTTTTATATTATGAATAATAGTTTAAAATGAATTGAAAAACCGCCATCAATATATTTTTTTCCTAAAAATAAAATGAATGAAGCCCAACCATCCATGATCAATTTCCCTTGACCATCAGCATCTGCTGGTGATATATGATGCGCAATACCATTTAAAACATTACTTTCCCAAGTTATATTAACATTCGGTGAAGCAAAAAATTTGCATGTTAATATTACTTGTTGACCAATAACTGCTTCTATTTCTCCCGAATCGGACAATAACTGTGGTTTGAATGCTGAAATTCATAATGTTAATTTAATATAACCTATACAACCTATCAAAATATCTAAATTGATAATCAAATGAAAATGATTGAATGATAATATCTGATAATATAATTCAATATTAAACAATTTCAAAGATATTGGATTGATAACGTGTTAAGAACATCAATAAGTATTATCAATCTTTCATAGTTTTGCAAAATATTCTGCCCCTATTCATTCATATCACATAATCAGGAAAATGAATAATCCAAAAATTTGCAAACCTGATATCCAATAATAAAAAATAGATGAAGATGTAAGTTTAAAAAGCAAAAAAAAAAAACCTAATAAATTCAAATAAAAATTCGCCCATACATAACCATGTTTATTTTCAGCTTTACACTGATAAACCGCATTATCACCATTACCATGTATTCCTTTCTTTACATTATATAATGTTAATAAACTGCCATCAATCGCCCAATTCCGATCTTTATTACTTTCTTTCTCTTTCATTTCTGAACAAATTAAAATAATTATATTATAAATCAGTGCATTAGACATGTATATGAATATGATGTATATGAACGGAATTAGAATAAAATTTTAACCAACCAATTACAAAATTCTTTAATTTATTTCTAAGATTATAACCGACAAAAAATTTTCAAGTAAAAATTGGTATGACAATTTTTCAACTTAAACTATATGAAAACTTACCAACACCGTTTTTATAAAATGTAATAGTGGGCGTTGGTTTACCACTAGCTGAACAATCATATGTAACATCTTCACCTTCACTTGTTCGTTTATTTGGTGGTGGACCTGTCAGCCAATATGGGGCAGCTAAAAACTTAATTTTTAATTCTTTTTATTAAAAATTCATCTGAAATTTTTCCTTTTTCCCATCACGAACAGAGCTAAGAAAATAAATACACTTTCACATAAATTTTGTCGAAAAACTAAATTCAATCGAAAAAAAATCTCATAAAATATTTTTACGGTTGCTTATACACCAGATGACAGAAATTTCTTTTCTTTCATCCACATATCAGTTTTCTTATTATTATGAATATTTTGGAAAGTTAACAAAACCTTCAACAATCACATTAAATCTTCGATCAAGACTCGATTGTGCCTGAAATGTGCATTCATAAACGCCAGCACTTTCTATCGTTACATTAAATACCAATGTTTTGCCATATGCTTCAAAACTATATTTCGGATCATCTTCGCGTATATCAACACCATTGTGTCGCCAAACTGGTTTTGGTTCTGGACTAAAATTTTATAATTTTTTTTCCATTTGGCCTATTATTTTCCTTTTTTCCAAAATGCACTACTTTTTTCGTGCAAAAGAGTCGAATATCGATGAAATTATTTTGCAAAATTAATACAAGTTTCTGGTTAAGCAATTTTTGAATTTTTTTGAGAAAAATCCCAACAAATAATAATGAGAATTAATTTTCAAATGAAAGAAATAATTTTTAAGAGAAAAAAAATGTTCGCAGTTATGAGAGTGAATAATTTATAAATTAATTTGAACGATAATTAACAGAATTAACTTACAAACCACTAAAGAAGCAATGTAATTTATGCAACGTTCCTTGCAGAGCAATTGGTGAGCTTTGATTGACGTACTGTTCGGCAGGTGGAATTGGTGATGTTACTGCAAATCATTATAATTAATTCCATAAAATTTTTAGAAAATTGACTAATTAAATCCTTTTCCATTTAAACATATGTAGAAATTTAGGTAAGATTTAAATTTTTATCTCAATTACTACATCATTACTACATCATTCTTAGCGACAAATTTCTCATAAATTTAATCAGATAAACAGTAACTTAGAAAAAAAATGAGAAGAGAATTCAGCTTTCCCTTGTCCAGCTTAGCACAATTTTTTACTTAACGGAAATTTCTGTAAGTTTAATTCCGTTAGTAAAGAGAATCGAAAGGCTTGACTTTCTGGTATTTTATAAAAAGAATTCTCAATCTTTCTGAACGAATCAATTTATTTCTATTTCTTTTCGTTAAAATCAATTAAGATTTCTCATTATCACATAATAAATAACAATAATAATTTAATAATATACATTAATTCACTTTTAAGAAATTCCTTACAAATACTTAAGAGCATTTATTACTCGCTAATTTTAACATTAGGAAATATTAAGAAATATTCTATTTTTTTCTAGAGATTTCTAAGATATTTTCGACGCTTTGCTACTACTTGTTGACGATTAATGATAAAGGAAAAAAAGAAATGTTAAGGGAAACTAATAATAAAGAAGGGAATGATAATGATAAGATATCAAAAATCATTAAAGAAATCGAAAAGATAAGAATTCAGTAAAATAATGATCGATTCATCTCATTTTGATCGAATTTCAGCAATTTACAGCAGTTTTGTTAAATTGAAATAAATAATGTGAATGTAATATCATTCTGATCCTTTTAATTTACTCTTAAACGATATAATTAATTCTAATCTTAAATAAAGCGAAAAAAACAAAACAAACATGCTCGTCGTCGATTCTTTGTAACATCTAAACGAAACTGACTACCAAATTTATAATCTTTCAATTTCGTATTTTCAGCAGTACAAGTATAATAACGATTTGGCTTAAAATCTGATTCCTTCACATGATGAAAATAAATCGTACCCTGTAAATTTGTTCTTTTGTGAGAAAAGTGGGAATAAAAATAAAATGGCACATGTCAGAACATTTCAAATTTTCAGTTCCCAAAAATTTTTTTTGAAAGCAATAACAATGCTGAGAAAACAATGCGATAAACATTCCGACATATGCAAAAAAAAATAAAATAAAAATGGAGTAATAAAGATGAAAATTAATAAATAAATAAATAAACTAACCAAATGAATAAATTCGATAGAAATTAGAAATTTTAGAAATAAGTTTAAATAATTCAAATATATTTGCATTATTTTTTATATTCTTTTTTATTTAATTTTCATCGTTCGATTAATAGCAGTTTGTTAAGAAAAATATAATGGTGGAAGAATAAAAAAAATTTTTTTAGAAAATCTGAAAAGTCTGACTTACGAAAGAAAATTAAATTTAAAAAATTGAAAAAAAATGAAAACAGAGTAAAAGAAGAATGAAGAACAAGAAGGAAACAGCGAATATACAGGGAAATCAGGAAGGACAGAAAAGAGCTGAGGAAAGGAAAAAATCTCAATTCTCATATTCCTTCTTTCATTATTAAAAATTATAGCATAAAATATCGCTAAAAGATTAAAATTTCCTATAAATAAAAAATAATTTTTTTGCCAAAAATCTTTCATTTTTTTTAAACTGTTCAACATTTTCATAGTTCATCAGTTTTAACATAATTCTCTTATTTCAATGGTTATCTACATTCCTCACTATTTCCTCTACCCAGCTTCTTCCTCTTTATTTCCAATCCTTTTTTTCCTCACCTTTTTTCTCATTATTATTCTTTTATTACTCTTTACTACTTCCTTATCAATCCTTCTTTTTTTCCTTCTCCAAATCTTTCACTTCTCATTAACTGCCAAAATTTATGAAAATAAACAAGTAAACAAAGCTGAGCCAAAACTATATACCAGCAAGAAAACCCATTAAAAGAATTATAAATCATTGATGTCAACTAAACAATCGTCTCTCATTTCTCTAAACAACCAACCACGAAATAAAATTCACTTCCTCCATCTAATTCTTTCCTTTTTTCCTCCTCATCTTCCTTATTCCAAACAATTTATCCATTCATTTTTTCCTTCCTCTCCCATCTCAATTTCTTTTTACTCCCTCAACTATTCTATTCCTTTCGTTTTCATTTAAAATCCTCTTCCATTCTTTGATTATCAGCAAATGTCAAATCATTTTCCATTATAATTCCTCATGAAAAATCAATCAACAAAAGACTAAAACAATAATTCTGTTAAAAAGCCGAAATAATTTTTATACGAATCGATAACTGAGCCGAACTAAACGAAGCGAACTCCTTACTTATTTATTTTCTCCACAAACTTATAGAATTTGATGAAAGAAAAGAATTGAAAATGAAGTAATGAAGTCCAAGTGAAAGGAAACCAGCAACAAACGTCGACTTTTCAGCAAATATTATTTCTTTTAATGTATTTACTTAAATTCCAACTTTTTATAATTTTAAATAAAAAAATTAAGAATTTATTTATTTATTTACAAAGACGAAGTTAATTTTGAATGAAATGCTCCAAAATACTGAAAAGCATAGATTTCTTCCCAAACACTAATGCCTTTTCTTTTGATTACTCTCTTCTAATTCCATTTTTAACTGCCTCATTGTTCAACAAACTTTGAAGAAAAGTTGTCAGACAATGGCGAGATCAGTGCTAAAGCGGAAACTACTGGATTATAGTGCGACGAGTACCACTAAACTGCCAATCAACATTGTTTTTCCTGAAACAGGTTAACAGCCCAAAGTATGTGGTGGCAACTTGTTTTTCCCCATTATTTGTGGAACTTTTCTTTTTTCTCTCTCTTTTCCCCGCAAAAAAACTGACTGCAAAAAACGTTAAACTATTTAAAGAGACTCTAAAATTAATTTCTGGAAACGATTCTCTCTCTCTCTCTTTCATTCTAAGTAATTGTTATTATTAATATAATTGAATAATTCTGAACACATTCATCATAGATAGGCACAAACATGTTTTAATACTACAAAGATTCGTTGGTAATGAAATTATTTCTTCAGAAAATAATTATTTAATAATTCCCCTTAATTATCGAACTCATTCTTTGACCTGAAATTAGCCATTTTTCTGATCCAAAACCGCTAACTCCTTGCTTCAGCCTAAAACTCTTCTAAATTTTCAAAATATAACCCCTTTCTATAAAAAGTTTAGGAATTCAACTTAAGTCGAAAACATAAGCGCTTCGACTAGGCAACAATAATCGATTGCCAACTTTCTATATATCTGTCTATCTCGAGGGAAATCAATACCATAAAGGTCTCCGTTTAAAAATTCCCAATATAAAATTTTAATCTTCCTTTCTATCGACGAATGACCGATTCGACTCACTACAGATTGTCTCGTCGTCATCGCTGCTCTCAATTGTCCTTTTCGTCCTCTAAAAGAAAGGAAAAAACACGAAAAAAAAGACTGATAAATATTGGTTTTCACTTTTCGTAAAAAGAGAAACGCTAACTAAGCAATAAACAAAAAATGAATATCGAATATTTTTTGAAATATTCTTCACAAAGATTGATGAGAAAATTAGTTAAAAACTACTACGTTAAGAAAAAATAAAAAATTTTTTCTTTAACAATTTGCTGTGTGTGATCCGTTGTAAAACAAAAAAAAACGATCAAATTAAAGAAACTCGTCCAAACTTTTTCAAAAACTTTACTACTTTTCCGACTTTTTACCAGTTTTTTAAAAAAAAGTAATTTCTTAAAATTATTTTAAAAAATTTTTGAGGAAAACTTTCCTATAAGAAAATTAACCAAAATTCAATCAAAAAACTTCGAAGAAGCTCTCAAAATTTGTCGAAATTACTAAAAATAAAAACGATTGCGGTTTAACGATTTATTAGAATAAGATTCAATAAACTTGAATTCGTGGAAAAAACAAGTTTTTGCTTTTTTAATACGAAAATTATTTCAAATAAACAAGTAACATAAAAAATGAAATCAATAGAAGTTTGTTTTTAACCAAAAAAAACGATCAATAATTTAATTTTAATTTTAATTTTTTTCTCATTTTTAAAATTTTCGATAATTTACACAAATTTATAAATTTTTTACAAATGAAACCAAAATGGAAATCAAAATTAACGAAAGAAAGAATAATGTGAAAATGAATTATTTTACGATTGTATGAATAAAATTAAAAAGTGGAATTTTTATTAGAATGGAATAAAAATAAAAAAGCAAAAAAAGTAAGGGAATCGCGAATTAAATGAGGGAAGTTTTATATTTTCAGCTAAAAATGACAATATTTTTACAAATTGGTTTTCATAAATTAACAAAAAAATATCTATCGAATTTATGTAAATTAATGTTTTAATGTTTAGAATTAAAAAAAAAGAAAAAAAATCTAAACAAAGGTTAAAGGTTCAGATCATAAGAAACGAAAAAATGATAAGTAAACGGAATTAAAGTGTAATTTAGAAGAAGTTAGAAACTGAAAAGAATTTAAAGGAAGAATGCTAAATACTAAAGAATTAAAATGAATAATATATCACTCCCTATAGATATTTTAAACTTCATGGAACGGTTTAAATAGAATTTTTGCGAACAAAAAATAAATCCAGAAACGTAGCGATTTTTACAATTAACGAACGATTCTCCTATTAATTTAAGCTATTATTGTCAATATTTCAATAGAATCAAAAATTTATAAGATGTATTTACATATTTCACTATATTAAATAAATGAATAAATAATAAATAAATAAATAAATGAATAAATAAACAAATGGCATATATGTGCCCAATATTATATATAAATGCAAAGTATAAATTTTGCATAAATTTAAAGAAAAATAATTTAAAAAAATTTGGGAAAAAAACGAACAAGTTCATTGGTTGATATATGCGAACTATTGATCGAATCGAATGAACCTTCTTCATCGCCCTTCAATTATTAGCTCATTAATTAGTTCATTAAAAATTCCCAAAGAATTTATTTATTTTAATTAAATTTGAAATTTTGATCAATCATAACTCCAGTCAGCGAAGAAAATTGAAATTTTATGAATCAATTGAAAGGCTAAGAAGTTTCGGGTAAAAAATCCGCTTAATCCATAAAGATGAACAAACGATGAAAATATTAATTGAATTTGTTTTTTTTAAGTCAACTAATTCGAATTAATTTGATTGAAAACAATATTTTAAACCAGAAATTTCCCACCAATCACAATAATTTAATTAAATTAGTAAATTACTAAAGTGTAGACGAAAATAAACATTGATAAACAATATTAAATAAATTATGCTCTTTTTAGATTTATTAAAGAAAAGGTTAGAAGATGAATAAAACCTTAAAAATCCAATAAACTCTGGCAGGTGGATTCGATTCAGGAGGAGTGCATTCTCGCTGATACGCATCACCAAGATCAACGCGTATTATTTCAGGTTCGGCTTTTGGAAAATATCTGATCCCTACAAAAAAATTTCTTGAAACTATTTTATATATAACTTATCAAACTTATCCTTAAAACTTATCCTTTTAGCAGAAATATAGGAATACAAAAAATATAGCTAATGAATTTTTTGAGTTAGAAAAAAACATATAATTAAATATAATTAATTAACATAAAATTTAACTATTTAAAAAAATTTATAATTTAAAAAAAAGAAACTTAATTCCAGTAAATTCTACGGAAATATTTTATTTATACTATATTATACTAAATATTAGTTCTCTCGGTTTTCTTCACATATCTTTTCATGCAGTGCAATGAAAAATACAAAATGAGACAAAAAAAAACGTCGCATTTAAATGATAAATATAAACGATCTCTGGATTTATATTAAACATTTTTATTAAATTTAATAAATAAATCAAATACATAAAGAATTTTTAAAAAGTTGAAAATAAATCAAAAGCCGGAAAAAAATTCAAAAATTTAGCAAAACAAACAAACATGTCTGTTGTAAAATAATTTTTTCGGAGACAGCAGTTCCATTATCATTGGTTGCTTCGCACTGATAAACTCCTTCATCAGCAGCAGTCAACTTTGAAAAGACAAATGAACCTTCCGATGGTTTCTGAGCAATTCGATCCGAATACATTTCTAGGTTAAATGGCTTCCCATCTTTTTTCCATCTATATCTGAAAAAACAAATTTTTACAATTTTTTCCTAACTAAAGTTTACCGGATTTTTAAGGTTTCATTCATTTTTTCTAATCAAGCAAATCTCCTTATTAAAATAATATCAAAAATAGCACATTAAAAATAACATCAAATTTCTCATCGCAGTTTTATATGTTTCGTTAATTTCTATCAGAAATCATTACAAATACAAATACAAACCATTTGATTTTTAAAAGTGGAAGGAGAAAAATTACTGTTTGTAGTCGAAATTTCATTTCTGTATTTTATTTCTTGTTTATCTATCAATTCAATATTATTAAAAATAGCTCATTGGTGGAAAAATAGCTCAGTGTTTTAAATGGTGACCATCAATCAGTTTAAATGGGAACAGCTCGAACGATATTTGCAAAATAATAGGCAGTGATTAGAAAATTTCGAAAAAATGGATCACAAAAACTCAAAATCAAGATGAATTTAAAGTTAAGAGATATCACAATTAAAAGAAATGTTTCAAAATTAAAATGAAAAATTAAATGAAAATAAAACCGAAACCAGTGAATTTAACTGAAGAGAATAATCATTTGCAAACAAATTTTACTTCGTTCGAAATTAAATTAATTTACTTTATAATTTTGTTTAAATCGAATTTTTTAAACTGCACTGTTTTTTAAGTTATGAATTTTCGTACTTCTTAATTATGAGGACAGTCAACTAAAGGCCATGTGCCACATCATGATCCTTTCTTTTCCCCCTACACTACCTTACTGCACTACCATTTTTACATTTTATGGAGCCATTTACTCGCTTTACATGTGTAATTTAATCTTCTACTTTTGCATTCTAGTTTCTAGCCTTGCATTCCTGAAGAGTGTGATTTTTGTCGACCCTAAAAGAAAGTGATTAGTGCTCACCAACTGCGAGATACTAGTGAGATAACTGTTAGGGAATAGAATTACAGAAGGGTCTAGGGGTCTATATCACTGTCGGAATTTGAAGGGTTCATTCCAATCGGACGTGGACATGAGAATCGTTCAACCTACTTATAATCTGCCTGCCTAATAATCGAAAAGCAACTGATTTTCTAATTTGTTACTAATAAGCCGCTGAACTGCTGCCCACATAACCGAAGTGCACTTAATTTTTTTGATTTTATTAATTTCATCAATAACTAATAAACTTTAAAAGTGCAAAACAAACACAGGCTTCGGATTTCCATCAGCAATACATTTTAATGTTCGTTCCTTAAGATAATCTAAATTTTGTCCATTTGCTGCCTGCGCTGATTCAGCAGTAAAATAAATAATTTCTTCGTTGGTTTCATGTATAAATCGTGGCGGTGTTGCGATTTTTGACCAATCAATTACATCACAAAATACTAAAAAATTATTTTATTATTCTAGAAAAGGTTTAAAATGAAATGAAAAATCTAAATTTTTGCAAAAAAATTAAAATTTAAAGAAAAAGAAATAAAATTCGCTTAAAGATGATTCAAAAATTTTTTGCGAAATTTGTGTAAAAAATCATTTCAACGATAAAAAAACGTTTTAATTTTATTTTTTTAAAAACAAAACCAATTTGAAGAAACTTACAAAATTGAAAAAAACATAAAATTAGAATAAATGATATTCGCAATAACATCGTTTTTACCGCTGATTCGCGGACTAAAAAAGTAATAATTGGTTTATTAATTATTAATTTAAAATTATTTTTGCAAAAAAGTTATTGAAGACGAAATTTTTCGAAAAATAAAAAATATTTCGAAAATAAAAGAAACCGAATTTTTCTTTCAATGGAATTCAGTTCTTTGTGAAATTCAGTTTATCAAAGAAGTGATAAGGAATGATAACTTTATCACCAACTCGATTTTTAAAGAACAAATAAATTTTTATGCAAATTAAATGCAAATTAAAAGAATTTTAAACGATACAAAACGTCGGTGCGAAGAGAATTTTTCTTAAAATTACCGAAATAAGCGAATTTAATTTGAATCCGAAATTTTTTAAAAGTTCTTTTTCGCAGAACTTTGTAAAATGAAATATTTTGAATATTTCATTTGAAAACTAAAAATAATCAAATTTGAAAAATTTTCGAGCGAAATTAATTTTCATTCGAACGAAAAAGCAAAAATGAAAATGAAAAATTTTTTGAATTAATTCTTAGAAAATTATAAAAAATTATCGAAAAGTCGTAAAAAAATAGAAAACGGCGGTGTCAAAGGTCAAAAAAGAAAAAACAACAAAAGAATGACTCAGAAATAAAGAAAACGAAAAATCCAAAAATGATGACAGTTAATTACATTTGGCGCCAAAAGTACGCAGCGCATGTGATATGGGAATTTAACTATATTTTAAAAAGGGGGTACAAGTCTCGAAAACGTCCGGCGAGTCATCCAAATGCCGGCGATGATCAGGTCAAACAATAGGTCAGAGCCGATCAATAACAGCTCACTAATTGCATGCTGGAAATGCCCAGTGAATTAGGATTTTATGAATCTTTTATAATTACGACAAATTTTAAACATTTCTTACGCAAACATTTGCAGTGATTCTGATTTACAAAAAGCATTGAAACAAGCGAAGTGAACTCAATTTTGATCCGCAGATTAGCGAAAATGATTAGAGAAGGCGAATATACCGAAAAGCGAGTCAAATGCGGGTCGAACTGCTTGCTTTAGCTCAAATTTGACCTAAATTAAAGGCATATTTCCCTCATAGAAATATCCAATAATAATATTGTTAACAATTAATAAATAATGTGAAAAATTTTTCATAAATTTCTAACTAGTTTTCCTGCGAATATTACTCGTTTTCCGTAAATTTCCTCATTCATAAATATTTATTCATTTTTTTTCTTGCTTGAATCATTTTGCAAATATTATTGCAAATTCGTTCGTACGAATCCATCTTTTTGTTGTCCACAGTGGGCTTCAATCGCTCCTCGATAAGCCTTTCGTTTGTACGGAACGCCACTCCCGTCTTCCCAGTGGACTACGCAGAAATTCCCCCCCCCCCCCCCCACCGAAAAAAAACTCATTCATCCGACTGAACATAGCAAACAAAATTTGGAATTTCCTAACCCTTAGATTATGAAATTACGCTGAGTGAAAGTGCGGCCTAATAAACATTTGATGTTGAATTTGAATATTTGTCATAAATGTCAAATTAGCGATTCCCAATCCATTTTGTGAAATGGGTCCCTCTGGCAATCTAGCAGAGCGAGTGGCCCATGTGGGTTCCTCTGGCAACCTGGCAAAGCGAGTGGTCCCTTCTCCGATTCCTTCTCCGATTAACATTTTTAAGTACGTGTCATGCGAATGCATGCAGTGCATGTCGGTTGTTTCTCACATGCAAAACTTGAAACTTGAATTGCAATTTTTTCCATGCGAGTTAAGGAGACCACTTGAAAATGAAATTTATTCATCGATCAGACCAAAAAATTTTGCTTTGAATAATTCACCTTTTTCCATTTTTTAAACTAATAAAAAAATATGCCAATGATTTCAATGCTTTTTTCAAACGACTTGCACCATAGCCGACTTGGCCAACGGCGTTGCCTACAATCGTAAAGCGTTTCCAAGCAGACAATTTTTAAGGGGAAATAAATCAAATTGGTTGAATGAACAGAAAACAAAAAACCTTTTAATGCTATTTTTCATTCCTATTTTAGCTATTTTTTAAAAATACTTAATTTTTAGATTACTAAATCTTACAATTACACTGCAAAAAGAACTTTATTCTATTTTTAGAAAATTTTGGAATTAAGTAAGTTTTATTTTAAAAAAATACAAAAAAATGGAAAACAGTGGTGTTCAACAAATCTTTGCACATTTACTGTGTGACGCGCTAATTTCCATCTGAAAATGACATTTACGTCAAAATAGCGAATAAAAATTTATGACAATTGCTCGCGACTGGTGTGAGAAAAAGAAGTTGAAAATTTTTGCAAAAGTTATTATCCATAGTGTACGCTAAAAAAAATAAAAATTCTCAAATCTCGTGAACATTTCAAAAAAAATCTGAAAAATGTTTCCGGTTGGTGAGAAAATATGCCTGAAAGCGAAAAAAATTAAAAAAATTTTTTTTATAAATTATATAAATGAATGAGCTTAAACTGAAAACAAATATGAAGTTAAAAAATAGGTTAATTAAAAACCACTTGTGGAACTCTTAAATGCCTTCTTTTTTAAAGAACAACCGGATTTCAAGTTTGCTCTGTCGACTCAAAATGAGCCTTGCTTGCTTGTCGGAGAGCACAGCAGTACAGGTGAGTCCCCAACGACATCGCAGTTTCATTTTGATGACAATGGCGAATTTCACAGCATATCAGAACCGAACCCAAACTTCGCATAAAACAACACCCCACTCTTCTGAGAACGGCAAACGAATCTCTTAACACCCACCATTTCTGGAATAATTCGCTTTGCTGGCCATTCTTTAAGTTCTTTTCGCCGGAAAGAAACAAAATGAAATTTCACTTTCCACTTATCCACATCTTATGATTGTCCGCCTCATTACTAGTTTTAGTGATAAATTTTTAGAGTTAAGGAATTAGATGGCTCGGAATTTTATGAAATTTTCTTTATGCAAATTTATGGAATTATGAAATAAATAATAAAATTTATATAAAACATCAATTGCTGCATTTTGATAAGAATTAAATGAATAAATAAAGAGGAACGACTGAAGAAAAACGCTTTTAATGTATCTTTTCTTTGCACTATAAATTGTTTTAAACTTTGTGATTTGTTAAGAAAAAAGATTTTCGAAAAAGATTTTCGACGAAAAAATTCGCTAAGCAAATATTTAAAACAGGTAAATGTGACATTATTAATCCGTGAGAATTCATTTAATTCGTTCATTTTTTAAAATAATCATTGCATTGCAATAATCATTTTTACAATAATAATATAAAAAGATAAAAAATAAATTTTAAATAAATAAAAATTTTTAAGCAATTCTTTGACAACAAAAAATCAAATTAAATTTAAACTTTTTACATTTTTAACAAAATTTTCAGCTTTTTCGTTGAATTCAAAAAATTAAAAATGAAAAAAAAATTAAAAAATTACATGAATAAATCGAAAATGTAGAAAAATAGTTCTTCAGCGATAAAACAAAGGAAAGACTCATAGGAATTAGATAGGCTTTTCGGTACCAATCGGATTTTGCTTTTAATGACAAATTCACATCCCAATTATATGCTTAAACTCAATCGAATCACCATCGCAGAGACAATATTCAAACAATAAATTGAAGATTCACTTGACGAAATTAATCTATCGCAGCAATCCACACTGTAACATTGAAAAAAATTCATGTTAGATAAGAAATGAATGGTTCATTCCACGCTTCAAACGTTTACCGAACAATTTTCCTTACTTGTTCCTCCTTTTTTCATCCAATATTTATTGATAAAAAGCGGAAAGATGAAAGGAATGATTATTGAGATGGACGAACGAAGAAAATTACTAAAACAGATAAAGGACTAACAAATAGGAATATTTAAATGGTTACAGTTTACAGTTTATTTAACTGCTAACTATTTTGAAAGTTAGCAATTAATAAAGTCAAAGGATTATTTAAATCAGAGTCGCCAGGCTAATAAGTGAGCTATTTAGTTTATGAGTTAACTATCGGTTACTGACTGAAGTCGCACAATCACTGATAGCCGAAGTTGTTTAGTTAATAATTTTGTTAGCAATTTTATGAGTTAATTATCAATATTGGTTGGGGTCAAAAGACCATTAAAAATTTATTGTTGTTGCTTCATAGAAATTGCTAAACACTAAAATAAGGACAAAAAGATAGGTGCTTAAATTAAGAAGTTAGCAGTTTTAAATTACCCAAGGTCGCATTTCTCGAGAGGTCATCATTGTTCGAATGGTGAGTGAAAAAGTAGTTTATTTGCGTTAATATTACCTTTCTCATATAATACGTTCGTCTGTAATCAATCATAAAAATGCAATTCGGTGACAATTTTTGATTTATTTTAACAATATCTTATAATTTATAACTATTAATTTCATTTAAAATTATCAAATTTAACAGTTCTTCGTTTTTTAAATTTATGATTGAAAATTTATGACTCGTGGAAATTGTCTTTTTTGAAAAAAACAAAACCATGAACGTCAAAAAAAGAAGGAAACCTAAATTACCCGATAAAAGAATTACATATATTAATATTATGGATTAAAAGAAATATGATGAAATAATGCCAGTTTACAAACATATGGATGGGTAGCCGTGTGGTGCATTGCTATATGCCGAAGGTGCCTTTTCCTAAAACCAGAGGAGCTGAACTAAAAATAGTGAATAGTGTCTGAATACTAACATATGTAAATAATGCTTATAAAGGAGTTCTGTTTTTTGCATATATTTCTAAATAATTCTCGAATAATTCCATAAATTTTTTTAAATTCCAATTATTTCAATTATCAATTATTTTATCAAATTTTTTAATATTAAAATTTGATAATAATGCAAATATAAACCAAAAAAAAGTGCTCGGATAGTACCTTTTTTCGCTTCAACAATTTCTCAAAAATTTTTGTCTAAAATTATTTCAAAAATTTTAATAACATTGAATAAATTTCTTTTTTTTCAGTAATCCATTATCTTTAATGTTTATTTTTTAAATTT